GCTACAAAAATCTGCCAAAGGCACTAAAGGCACAAGGCAGTGGTGTCCAATAAGGCAGAGGGCAACCACAAATAGAACTACTATGGCTGTCAGTCCCTGCAAGAGGTCCTATAGCTCGCAGCAGGAGAGAAACGGCTGTCCGGGGAGATCCCTTTAAGCACGTTTCTCAAAGGAGCTCCACCCCCCACCCCCAGAAAGGGCTGCCGCCCTTTTGCCCTCTTCAAAATGGTTCCTGGCTTCTGCTTTTGCACAGAAGTGTCCCGCCAATGTAGACGCACTTTTGCGCAAAAGCGCATCGTTCTTACAATGAGTCCCAGACCAATATAGACGCTATCTTGCGCAAATACTCTAACGCAAAAACTCTTACGTTAAAAGTATTAGCGCAAAATCTTGCCAGTGTAGACGCAGCCCTAGTGTTTCTAATAAAATAAATTCTGTTTACAAAGAAAAACAGGTCTGTGTCTTCTTAATGGGAAGAGGGTGAGGGGACATTGTTCAACTGTCCTCGCCATCAGCACCTGTCCCCCACCCTGGCAGGAAGGCCTCCCCTTTCCTCTCCACCAGATTATGGGGGTGCAACATGCGGTCACCACCTCCGGTATGTTGCGTTCGCCCATCTCTAGGCGTGTGAGGAGGCAATGGAACCTCCCTTTCAGCCGTCCGAAGGCGCATTCCACCTGGATGCGGGCCTGGCCAAGATGCATGTTGAAAAGCTCCTTGCTCACATCCAGGTGGCTGGAGTAGGGCTTCACGAGCCACGGCATCAGGGGGTAGGCCGCGCTGGCCACTATGCACACCGGCATCTGCACGTCCCCGAGTGCGAGGTGTCGCTGGGGGAAAAATGTTCCTGCCTGCAACCTGCAGTACAGATAGGAGTTCCGGAATATGCAGGCATCATGTGCCTGCCCTGACCACCCGACACAAATGTCCATAAAGTGTCCCCGGTGGTCAACGAAGGGGTTGCAGCACCATGGAATAGTAGCCCTTCCTGTTTATAAACTGGGCTGCTCGATGGGGCAGTGCGTGGATTGCGATGTGTGTCCCATGGAGGGCTCCTCCGCAGTTCAGGAATCCAAGGGCGGCAAACCCGGTGATGCTGTTGTCCAGGTCTCCAAGACAGACGAGCCTCTTCAGCAGCTCCACATTGATGGTCCTCACCACCTGCAGCACGAGACAAATAGACACACAGAAACCAGGGAGTTTGACAGGTTACCTAAGCGCTTGGGGGGGGACCCTTCCCCCCTTCTACTCCAGCCCTCCCCTTGTCAGGACACCCCTTTCCCGCGCATCAGTGCAGGGGTGGCTGAGGAGCGGCCTCCAAGTGCCACTCCATCCCCCACTCCCGCTTGCCATTGCCTGGCAGTCCCCCTTTCTCAACCCTCCCACTCAGCAGGGCCTGTTGCCCAAGAGTGACCTACCTCCGTCAAGACGGCCCCGACGGTAGAGCTCCCCACACCAAACTGGTGTCCCACAGAGCGGCAGCTGTCGGGGGTGGCCAGCTTCCACAGGGCGATTGCGACCCACTTCTGCAGGGGGTGGCGGGTTGCAGGTGGGAGTCCCGGTGTTCCAGAGCAGGGGCAAGCCAGGAACACAGCTCCAGGAACATGGCCTTCCACATCCGGAAGTTGCGGAGCCAGTGTTTGTCGTCCCAGAGCTGCATGACGAGCTGGTCCCACCAGTCGGAACTTGTCTCGGCCTCCAAATCTGCCTGTTCCCAAAAAAGTTTGGGGGCAAGGACAGAGCTCCTGCATCCCAGAGGAGGGTCTCCTCGGTGCAGTCTGGGTCCATATGGGACAGGAGATTCATGACAGAGTCATGCAGATGTAGCAGAAGCTGCAGTGTGGCAGCGTGGGGCCATCGCCTGCCCAGAGGCAGCTCAGGCTCCATGGCCAAAAACATGATGAAAAGCAGAAAAAAAAACCCCTGCAAATAAACTGCTGTGGTGTCCGAGGAAGCAGGGCAACCAGAGCAAGAACTGAAGCAGCTTTGCTTTCCCTCTAGGAGGCAAGCCAGAAGCAGGAGCAGCGCAACGGATGTCCAGGGGGATCCCTTTAAGCACACGTCTCTGCAAAGGGCATGGAGCAGCACCTGGAAATAAAGGCTGCCCCCATGCCCTGCCAGAAGCAAGTCTGGGTGCCATCTTTTTTTGACAGGACGTTTAGTCTGGACGCTCTTTTTCAAAAAAGCGGATCTATTTTTCGATCCGCATAATGTAGTCTAGACGCTCTTTTTCGACAGAGGCTTTTTCAAAAGATACTGTCGAAAAAGCCTCTGTTGAAAAAGGCGTGCAGTCTAGATGTAGCCCCAGGTTCAATATACCAGCCATGCTGCTGTACACAGTGGGTTAGATTGAAGCCGGTCTATTTTGGCAATAATGACACCACACAAATTTATATAAGCAGGATTCTGATTGCGTACTGTTAACAGAATGTTAATAGATGAATATAGGCCAGCAAGTTTAGAAAGGAGAAAAACAAAAAGGGTTAAAATCATTCTAATTAGTTGAGTGGTGTTTCAAACCTGGTGACCACAGTAGCAGTTTGGTTTAATTCACTGCATTATGTGCACGTCCACTGGTTAAAAGACAGGAAACAAAGGGTAGGAATAAATGGTAAATTTACAGAATGGAGAGAGTAACTAGTAGTGTCCCCCAAGGGTCCGTATGGGACTAATCTTATTCAACCTATTTATAAATGATCTGGAGAAAGGGGTAAACAGTGTAGTGGCAAACTTTGCAGATATACTAAACTGCTCAAGATAGTTAAGACCAAAGCAGACTGTGACGAGCTTCAAAAAGATCTCACCAAACTAAGGGTATGTCTACACTAGCTTGTTAATTCAAGCTTTGTGTGACAGTTCAATGCCCCTTCTCCCCCCTTTCTTTATGAAATAGACTTATGGACATAAAAGTACATATGTAATTTGAGCAAATTGCTTCATGAAATCTATCAATCTTCATGTCATAATCCGCTGTATCCATTTATCTTATTTTGGTGTATGTATCATGTGTGTAAAATTAGACATATGGAGTATGGAATAGTTGATGGGTTTTAAATGTATGGATGAAGGTCATCAAGGGAGGCCTCAGTGTCTGGGCAATCATATGCAAATAGATTTTTGTCCTTAAATCTTAACACTGGTTGGTAAGGAGGGGCCAGGCGACTCCCCACGCTCTAAGGGAATCTTTAAAAACAATAGGAAAGTAGTAGTCTTTGGCGGGCACACCTAGAAAAGTGAACTAGAGGCCTCAGGGGAAGTGGAGATTTTCCCTGGTTTGAAGGAGCAGCTGGAACAGAAACAGTTTTAGGATGAGTTAATATTAAGTTCATACTGAGGATTTTGTGTTAGAATTAGCTAAGTGTATTCTGTTACTTTTAATTTGTAATCTACTTTGCTCTGCCTGTTCTCACTTATAACCACTTAAAACCTACTGCTTGTACTTAATCACTTTTTCTTACTATCAAGCCCAGTGTAAATAATTATTAGCTGGGGGAGCAATCAGTGTGTACATCCTCCTTTCATTGTTAAAGGGGGCTTACCTAAAAATAATTCATTGGGGGATTTGATCCCATTTGGGGAGTGGTATCCCAGGAAGCCGGGCCCAAAACTGCATTCTTCTTGGATCTGAAGAGGTTCAATGTCTATACTGCTTCTCGGGGAGGAGGGGGGTCAGTGATCTCAGCTTGGTGCCTTGGTTGGGGGAGACCAGCAGAGCTGGCCTAGCAAGACCAAGTGGTTAGAAGCCCCAGAGTGCGGGAAGTTGAGTTGCAGTGGCCGTGTCAATACCCTCCAAGGAATCACCTCCAAGGGTGTATATAAAATTATACTACATCCACATTTTGACTACAGTATACAGATGTGGCCGCCTCATCCCCCCCAAAAAAACCATATTGGCAGTGGAAAAAGTTCAGAAAAGGACAAAAACATGATTTGGGGTTTGAAATAGGTCCCATATGAAGAGAGATTAAAAAGACTAGGCCTTTTCAGTTTAGAAAAGAGATTAAGGGGGGGGGATATGATAGAAGTCTACAAAATCATGACAGGTGAGTTACTAAGTGAATAAGGAACCGTTACTTACTTGTTCCCATAACAACTAGGGGTCACCAAATGAAATTAATTGATAGCAGGTTTAAAACAAACAAAAGGAAGTTTTTCTTCACACACTGCACAGTCAACTAGTGGAACTCCTTGCCAGAGGATGTTGTGAAGACCAGGACTTTAACCGAGCTCCAAAAAGAATGAAATAAATTCATGGAGGTTGGGTCCGTCAATGGCTATTAGCCAGGATGGGTAGGAAGGGTCTCCCTAGCCTCCATTTGTCAGAGTCTTGAAATGGATGACAGGAGAGGAATCATTTGATGATTCCCTGTTCTGCTCACTCCCTCTGGGGCATCTGACACTGGCCATTCTTGGCAGACAGGATACCGGGCTAGATGGACCTTTGGTCTGACCAGTATGGCCATGCTTATGTTCTTATGTTATGTTCTTATGATATCTCACAGGAGCAATTAGCAACCACTATTCCTATCATCTTGCTCATTTCAGTTGGTGGTGACTATTCTGCTTGAAAAACAGAGAGGTATAGAAAAAGGAAGTATTGATTCTTGCAGCATTAGGGACAAAGGACCTGGCTGAAAATTAAAAGAGCAGATTTGAAAAGAAAAATATTTAATATTTTTCAAAAATTGCAGACATAATTTTGTAACCACCTGTGATGTAATCTGTGTGCATGACTGTACCTCAAACCAAAACACCTTAACATCATCACTACTACCCATGAACAGCTGCAAGTATTAACACATACCCAAACATTATTTAAACTAACGACCTGATTCACAAAATCTGGACTTCACAAAAAGATCCAATCATTTGACTGCCCCTTTAATCACCTTTCCTGGAAAAATTCATCTTGCAAGTTATTTTCATCCCACCACTTTGTTAGCTAAACAAAAGCCCGTTCAGTGTTCATTTCCTGGGGTTACACTGATGGGTTATGGTACCTGAGAAACAATCACCTGGGCTTCCATTATTATAATTTAAGAGGTTCTGGGCCTCCTCATCTACAACATCCAACAGATATTGAACAACTTCATTGTGGTCATCTGCATCATAATAGTCTTCATCCAATATCTCTGTTTCTAGAAACATAAAACAAACATGGGGGAAAGGAATATAAAAAGATCAATGCATATAAAGGATTATAATGACAAAAAGGCATTCTATCAAACATATATTCTTTAATATAGTAGTAATTATAGTAGTAATTACTGTGACTTTCATTCCCTGTCTATGCAACTGAATTCAGACTCTGATAACTTTACTCCACTCCTTCTTTTCTTGGCAAAAGACTTGTTTAGGAGAGAGTACAGGGCTAGGAATTTAAGATATTCAAGAAGTTAAATTGGTTTTTATGTGGATATCTTTGTTGCTTAATTTCTCTTGTATTCTTCAGCTAAGGAGCATGGTGATGTTCAAATCTCTCCTCCTTACCCGAGTGATCATCGTTCTTGGAAAAATCTTGTATCTGATTTGTAAAACCACTGGAGGACATATTTCTAGAATCAGTGAACTTCATTAGTCCTGTTGCCTGATGAATGCTGCTTACTGCATTTGCATGAGAAACTCCTATCATGTTTTCCTCATGAACCTAGAAAAACAAAAAAGGAGCATGAGTTAGTTTTCTTTTTTAGGGTTTGTTATTTGTTCATCTAATAGCAGCAAACACTAACAAAACAGAGACTGTGTCTACATTGGCAAAATTTTGCACAAATACTTTTAACGCAAGAGTTTTTGCATTAAAGTATTTGCGCAATAGAGAGTCTACACTGGCATGTGCTTTTGCGCAAAAGCATCCGTGCCAGTGTAGGCGCTCTCTTGCACAAGAAAGCTCCGATGGCCATTTTAGCCATCGGGCTTTCTTGTGCAAGAAATTCATGTTGCCTGTCTACACTGGCCTCTTGCGCAAGGACACTTGAGCAAGAGGGCTTATTCCTGAGCGGGAGCGTCATAGTTCTTGCGCAAGAAGCACTGATTTCACACATTAGAACGTCAGTCTTCTTGCACAAGAACTCACAGCCAGTGTAGACAGGCGGCAAGTTTTTGCGCAAAAGCTACTGCTTTTGCGCAAAATCTTGCCAATATAGACACAGCCAGAGGGTATTTCTTAAGAGTGCAGAGACATGCAGCCTTTTTATCTATCCTACTCAATTAAGAAAACATGATTTAATTTTAGTAGTAACTTAGATTTGACAATTTTTTAAAACTGGCAATTGTACTCTAACTTACAGACAAAATTAAGGAAAAGTAAACCAGAATGTCAGGAAAAGCTTCCCAACGGTGGAGATCTATTAGATTGTGGAACATCTCATCAAGGGAGCAATACTGCTTCAATTACTTTCCTCTTCTTTTCCCTCAGACTCAGAAACAAGCATCAGGGCTGGAATACTTTGCACTTATATTGTGTCCTCCATCTAAGACTCTCAAACCACTGATCTTAGCTTCATATCACTTGTACCTCTGTGAGAGAGGTAAGCATCACCTCCACGCCATTTCTCGGAAGAGAAAATGGAAGCAGAGAGAGATTAAATTACTTGGCCAGTGTAGCACATTAGCTCTGTAGGGATGTCCTTACAAGTAACAAGCTTTCTGAGTTACAGTCCTGTGCCTTTAACCACACGACCAGTCTTCATTCACTAAGTGCAGTTCTAGGTACTGGAAAAATAATTCCAAATACTTATGCATTTACTGATTCAGATCAATTGACAATATTGTAACAGCACAATTTGAAAGAAAGCAATTTTGCCATAACTGGGGATCTTTTTCTCTGCTTAATGAAAATTCCTATTAACAGGATTATATGCACGTATTTTATCAGAACGTAACAAAAAAAAATAAAGCAAATGTATTAATTATGGTTATATCATTTTTATTTACCTCAGGCACATAAATACCAGGTGCTATTTCTATGTTTCCATAGTGATCCCCAGGCAGATGGCCTAAATAAAATAGAACAAATTGATAACTTTGAATAACAAAATGTTTGCAGTGATTACGTTATGAAAAAAATTGACTGGCAATAAAGAAAAATATTTATAATTTTTTATTTAATGTAATATACTTCCTTCTGCTGACAATAATTAAAAAGAAGAACTGAACCTAACCAAATGGTAGAATATCAGGGTACTTAATCACACTCATATCCGAATGACAGTATTTTAAGATAATGTTATGTTTGCACAGTTAGGAGAAAAAGATAATGGTGAAATGAATAACTAAGGGCATGCCTACACTGCAGCGTTATTTCAAAATAACTATGTGAGCATCTACACAGCAAACCTGTTATTTCAAAATAATTTCGAAATAACGGGCAGCTTATTTCAGAGTCTGTAACCCTTATTTCATGAGGACTAATGCTTATTCCAAAATAGCTATTTCGGTATAGGACGTGTATAGACAGGGCAGCTGGAGTTATTTCAAAATTATTGGCCTGCAGCCCTTCTCACAGGTGCCCTGCTGGCCCGTTTGTCCACACTCAACAAAACTGTATAGTACCCCTTCCCCTGCAGGCTTTAAAGGCGCAGCCTCAAAGGAAAGGGCTTGTGGCACAAGGCAGACCCTGACAGCCCTGAGCCACACTGCAGCGGCCTGCACATCTGCCCATGAGCCACTCCCGTGCTCCATCTAAGCCCTCCACGGCTACAACCGAGCAGGTAGCCAGCTCCCAAGATCTTGCCAGGGACTGAAAGAGGCGCATGCCTTCCTGGTCTGGCGCAGAGATCCTGGACCTCACTGAGGTCTGAGGCAAAGAGGAAAACATCCAGAATCACTGCACCACATATGCAGGAATGTGGATATCTATCCAGCGGCCGTGGCCGGCGCATGCATGTGCCGTGCACCCAGGTGGTGGGCCCGTGCCCCATGGGTGGGCCTGCGCATGCGCCCTGTGCCCAGGGCGCCAAAAGGGCTCGGGCCGGCCCTGGGTGCAGCCTCAGGAGAAAGGGACTGTGGCACAAGGCAGGGCCTGACAGCCCTGAGCCACAAAGCAGCAGCCTGCACAGCTGTCCCTGTGGCCAGGAGCCACTCCAGTGTTCACTCCCATGCTCTGTACGAGTCCTCTATGGCTGCAGCCAAGCAGGCAGCCAGCCCCCAGGACCCTGTCAGGAGATGAAAGAGGCACATGCCTTCCTGGCCTGGTGAGGAGATCCTGGACCTCACTGAGATCTGGGATGAGGATGCAAACCTCCAGGATCTCCGCACGAGATGCAGAAATGCCGATGTCTATAGCCGGATGGCTAAGAGCCTGAGCACCAAGGGCCACATGTGCACCCAGGAGCAGGTGTTCATGAAAGTGAAGGAGCTCAGGCAGGCCTATGGGCACCCCAGACCTGCCCATATTATGCCTAGCTCCACCGCACCCTAAGGGGTGGGTCAGTCCCTCCCCCTGGTAGTAGACTCAGGGCTGGAGATGCCCATCATTGCCCTCCCAGGGGGCAGAAACGGGGAAGAGGAGGAGAAGGAGGAGGAGCTGAAAGAGGCCAGCAATGTGACGATGCCCGCCAGCCAAGAGGTCATGCTCGCCCTCAAGCTCGTTTCCCCCCCCTCTCCTCCCCCATGTCTCCCAGGCATTGTCTGATAATGGGGAAGGCCCATCAGGTGGGTGAGTATCTTTAGCTTCCATAGACACACCCGGGTGGAAGTGGTGGGTGGCTGCTGCGTGCTTCTTGCTGGGCCATCTTGGCCTGGGGTTTGCGCAGCTGCCAGTGCATGTGAAACACTAGTTCAGGGCATACAGCCCCTGAAGGTTGCAACAGAGGACCCTTGTGCTCTGGCTCACAGGGTGTCTGGACAGGCCCGCCTCACTGCCGACACCAGGGTGGGACGGGACACCCTCCCACCAAAAGCCACCACTAGGAGGCTGGGGACATGGAGACCCTCCCATACACACACTCAGGAGTGCTGCACATGGGCATGCCTGCACTCTCATGGCAGCATCTGCTCCTGGGGACAGCACAGCGAGGTGTAGGAGCATCTGCTGCTCACACACACCTCCCCCCAACACCCTGCCTCCCTCTCTTCTAGTGGGCAGGGATACAAGTCCTGTGGGATACCACCGCTGCCAAACCCAGCCACGCCATGGCCCCCGCCTCCCGCAGGCTCCTAGTCTGGCCGGCACCTTCCCATGCCTGCTTGTCCCCGGGATGTGGGGGGAATGAGAATCCCCACGGGGACCTCTGTACTAAGGATGTTAAGTAATGGTTAATTTACTAGTCGAGTGTCGATAGGCACTTCCATATTCCTCCTTTGAAATGTACAAGAGGGGGCTCTTGTATATTTCAAAGGAGGAATGCGGAAGTCCCGCAGACTCCGGGCAGCACGTGGTGTGCCAGCTTTGAAAAGTACAAGAGTCCCCGGTGGGGGCTTTTGTGCATTTCAAAGCGTCAGCATAGCCCTCGCTGACCCCAGGCTCCATGCCGCGCTGCCGATTTGAAATGCCACATGGAGCTGGGGTCTGCTGGGGAGTACCCAGCTGATCCCAGGCTCCAGGCGGCATACCAGCGGAACTTGGGATCAGCTGGAGACTCCCCAACTGACTGAGGTTCCGCACAGCATTTCCTCAGAACCCAGAGTCAGCTGGGGACTCCCTAGCTGATCCTGGGTTCTGCAGAAATGCCGCACGGAGCTCAGGATCAGCTGAAGACTCCCCAGCTGATCTCAGGCTCTCTGTGAGGCAGTGCCACACAGCTGAGTTGGGGATGAGCTGTGAAGCACTGCCTCTTTGAATGCTGCCTTGGCGTTTCAAAGGGGTAGCGCCGCACAGCTGATCCCAGGCTTAGCTGTGCAGCGCTGCCCCTTTGAAGTACCCCTTTCCCCTCCCTTTGCTGCCTCTATCTGATAGAGGCAGGAAGGAGGGAAGCGACTAGTTGACTATCCAAGCAAATGCAAATGGACTAGTCGACCCTAATCTGTGCCTCTGCAGGAAAAGACCCACTGTCTAGGCTACAGGTGGCCTTGCTTGAAGCGCATCGCTTTCATCTGACCCAATGGAAACTAGGACAACTAACAAAGGATGAATATAGGCAAGCAACACGGGAATGCAGGGGCAAGATTAGAAAGGCAAAGGCACAAAATGAGATCAAACTAGCTACAGGCATAAAGGGAAACAAGAAGACCTTTTATAAATACATTAAAAGCAAGAGGAAGACCAAGGACAGGGTAGGCCCACTGCTTAGCGAGGAGGGAGAAGCAGTAACAGGGAACTTGGAAATGGCGGAGATGCTCAATGACTTCTTTGTTTCAGTCTGCACCGAGAAGTCTGATGAAGAAATGCCGAACAGTGAATGCTAGTGGGAAGGGGGTAGGTTTAGAAGATAAAATAAAAAAATAAGTTAAAAATCACCTAGAAAAGTTAGATGTCTGCAAGTCACCAGGTCCTGATTAAATGCATCCTAGAATACTCATACAGTCACCGCAGGTGCCATTCCCAGCCCCAGCCCTGGGCCTCTCCTCATCCCTCCTCCCTTTATGAAGACAGGAATGAAAAACATCGCAGGGAAAAGGATTCCACCATTTCCACCCCTACCCCTTTCCTAGGGAGCCCCACTGCAGCAATTCAGTTCGCCCGCCTCCTGAGACAATAGCAAGAGAGCACCATACCTGCATGACCACGGCCCTGACGGTTGATCTCCCCATGCCGAACTGGTGTCCGGCATGGCAAGCTTCCAGAGGGTGATGGCTACCCGCTTCTGGAGGGGAATGGTAGGTTTCATGTGAGTGTCCCATCACCTGAGGGCAGGGGCAAGACACTCACAGAGGTCCAGAAATGTGTCCTTCCTCATTTGGAAATTCTGGAGCCATTGCTGGTCATCCCACTGCTTCATCATGAGCTGGTCCCATCAGTCAGCACTGCCAGTCATCAGAAGCGGTGGTGCATGATGTGCAGGAGAGGGCAAGTGGGGTCAAGCTGCATGAGCAGTGCCCAGAGAGCAGAGAGGAAGTGCCCCACAAGGAGCTGGGGGTCCTATTCCTGCAGGGCCTGGAAGGCAGCCCACAGAAACCACAGCAGGAAGTGCACCAAGACATATAAGAGCTGTCAACTGCTGGGAGGCAGGTCTGGCTCCATGGCTAGAAAGCTGAGTTGTCCAAAAGGGCAACCACAGCAAGCAGAGAAAAGGAGTTGCTGTCCCCTGAGGAGGTAGGCAAGCAGAAGACTCTGAGACACGGTTGTATGGCAGGGGTGGGGGAGTCCCTTTAAGCTCGAGCCTAAGATAGCTTCAGGCAGCAGCTCCAGGGCATGAGTGCTGTCCTGATGCCCTGCCTGAAATGCTTCTGGGTGACCTTAAATGTGATTCAGCATCCAACGAGAGTGAATGCTCTATTTCAAAATAGCTTAGCGCTATTTCAATGGGCATTTGCTGTGTAGACGTGCTATTTCTGAGTATTTCCTCCAAAATAGCTTATTCCAAAATAAGCATGCAGTGTAGACCTGCCCTAAGTGTCCAAAAAGACCATTGTTGATAAGTAGTAGTAATAATATACAATATGAATTACATGACAGTAGCCATACATGCCACCCCAAACAGTTTAAAATCTAAGGGCACATCCTCCAAACACATATCTCTGGATACATACATCTAAGTCAGAAAGACTACTTATATTAGTGTTTTCAGGACCAAGGTCTAAAGAGACAATGTGTAGACATGAGATGGGGGGTGGGGAGGGGGAGATGAAATGACAAACATCTAGTGCAAGGTATTAACATCTCTGTTCTCTTTTCCTGGGAGTTCAAGTAGCAATGGGGATGTAATCTCATGTTCAGGACAACTCTAAACATCTGATTGCCAGAAGCTGAGGTGAATCACTCCAACTGCCCTGCTCTGTACATATCTGGTATGGGCTACAGTTGGCGACTAGATACAGGGCTCAATGAACCATTGGTCTTACCCAATCCCACAGTTTTTATGTCATAACTAGAGAAACACTTTGCATCTAGTACACCTCCAAAACACTTTGGCAATTAACAAATAAATGATAATACTGGGGAAAGTATTATTTGACTTACCTCCAAAACACTTTGGCAATTAATGATAATACTGGGGAAAGTATTATTTGACTATTACAAAACTTAATATTACCCTATATTTTTTAGAACAGGTATAAGAGCTGTGTTCTTATTCAATGCCAGATTAGAAGATATGTAACAAATAGAATATGCATTATGAGTTGATTTATGAATAACAGAATTAGTTATCTTGTATTGCTGTGAAACAAAGTATGAAGATTTTGAGTATAATTGGTTTAGTAAACAAAGTGTGTTCAGGTATTATTGAAATTTCCCCATCAATTAAATGGAGACCGTTGGCAGCCTGGAAGACGATAAAAATGCAGCAATGATATAAAATTAAAAGCACAAGACTAACAAAGGAATAAGGGAAAGTAGAAACTGACTCAAGTTTCCTCCTTAGGCAAAGTGGCATGTAAACAATACCACTGTAAGCATCAAATTATTTGCGTTGTATATAAATATATATCACAACCCAAGAATTTTCTAAAGGTCAGCACAGAATACTCCATTACATTTAAATGTATTCTTCTTCTCAGAATCTGTTACATTCTGTACTGTCTCTCATCCATGACCTTAGACAAAGTGGCTTCTTAAATCTGTTGCAGAAGTTTGACAAACTTTATTTTAAAATATATTATTTATCCTGTTTATCATAGGTTCTTTCAAGGATAGATACCATGCTTTGGTGGAAAGAAACTCATTTACAGTAAGTAACTAAGAGATCCTTACCATTAGCTTTCATTACCCTTGGACTTGAGCTGACAGAGCCCCTGGACTTTGGAACCAATGGGCGACCATCTCTGTGATAAGAAGAAACACACTATATTTTTGATTTGTGAAAAGGTACCATATGTGAGTATCTACACAAGGGCAATCTCTTATTGACTCTTAGTACTTAACTATGTCAATCACATTTTTCTTGGACAGATTTGGAATAAGGTACCAAGAACATCCAATATCTCAATAATAGAAAATTACTCATGAAATAATATCCTGGATCATACCTACTTTCAGAAGAGAGGGAAGACTTCATAAGGCTAGGATTTCACCCCAGAGTCTTACAGATAGGGGTGATCTAGTGGCCTCAGCCAAGGGTTTAACCATAGAACCTCCCAGTCTCTGCCGCTCCTCAGCAGTTCAGAAAATCAAGCGCTAACTGCCTGAAAGTTAGGCACACGAAAGTAATGGAAATTGGGTAATTCCTCTGCCTCAGTTGCCCCATCTATAAAATGGGGACAGCAATATCTATATAAAAAACAACAAAGAGTCCGGTGGCACCTTAAAGACTAACAAATTTCTTAGGGCATACGCTTTCATAAGATACAACTCACTTTCTCAGATGTTTGAAGCAAAAGAAAGGCAGGGATACAGAGATGGTCAATGCTAATTCAATCAGGATGGATATGGCTCACTTCCAACAGTGAGACAAAGGCAAGAGTACCTGAAGAGGAAATTACTTATTGTAATGAAAGAGCCATTCCATGTCTCTATTCAGACCATTTTGATGATGTCAAATTTGCATATGAACTCCAGCTTAGCCATTTCACATTGCAGCCTCTTTTTGAAGTTCCTTTGCCTCAGAAAGGCAACTTGCAAGTCAGTAACAGTGTGTCTAGGGAGGTTAAAGTGCTCGCCTACTTCAGAAACTGTTTTAAATGTTGCCATTCTGATTTGTGTCCATTTATTCTTCTGTGTAGAGACAGTCTGGACTCCTTGTTGTTTTTAGCTGAAAGACTAACATGACTTCCTCTCTGAAACCTAATATCTATATTGCTATCTCCTTCCAAAATTATTGTAAGGATTAAATGAATGCTAGTAAAGAGTTTTTAAATGAAAAGGCCAATGATGCCAATGGTCTGTGCCAACCTGCTTGCTCAATGTTGTTGAGGATTCTCAACTCCAATAAGCCAACAGAACTGAGAGGACAGAGCCCCCTGAATAATCAGGCCTTAAAAAATAACTGTCATTACCTCTCCAATTGGTTAGCTATTGTACCAGGAAAACGCATTAAAGTGGATACAGCTACAATTTTATCATTTAAAAATCACATGCAAGAGTTCGTATCTAGAGGATACCTTGTAGCTTTCAGCACCACTTTAGGAAGTGACATTTCCAGTGCTCTTTTGGCTTCTTTCAGAGTCATTCCCTGTGTGCTAATTCCATTAATATAATGGATTATATCCAATGTATGGAGACTTTCCTCATTGGCAGCAACAGACCTTGGCTTGATATCACTAATATAGACCACCTGGTAAAGGCTGTCATGACCTCCTGATAGAGACAGACCTGTGGAAAAGAAAAGAAAAAGAACGGTTACTTACCTCGTAACTGTTGTTCTTTGAGATGTGTTGCTCATGTCCATTCCATGAAAGCGTGCACGCGCAGTGTGCATGCATCGTCGAAGATTTTTCCCTGAGCAGTACCCATCGGACCAGCAGGGAGCCCAATGGAGTGGCTTTGGTATACCGGCCGATCTATACCCTTGCTGGTCCCCCGCCCTTTCAGTTCCTTCTTATCGGAATACTCCGAAGAAGGGGAGGCGGGCGGGATTTGGAATGGACATGAACAACACATCTCGAAGAACAACAGTTACGAGGTAAGTAACCGTTCTTTCTTCTTCAAGTGATTGCTCATATCCATTCCATGTAGGTGACTCTAAAGTAGAACCTGAGGAGAAGGGGTCAGAGTTTATTGCTCATATCCATTCCATGCAGGTGACTCTAAAGTGGAACCTGAGGAGAAGGGGTCAGAGTTTTAACCTTCCACAGAATGGAGGATCCTATGGCGGCGTCCTCTCTGGCCTGATGTGACAGCACGTAGTGATTGGCGAAGGTGTGGACAGAGGATCAAGTGGCGGCTCTGCAGATGTCCAGGATCGGGACCTGCGCTGCGAAGGCTGTGGAGGAAGCCATTGCCCTTGTAGAATGCACGGTGAGAGGGGGGGCTGAGACCCCTACTAGAGCATAGCACTCTCTGATGCATGCAGTGATCCATGAAGATATCCTTTGTGTAGAGATCGGATGTCCTCTTGAGCATTCCGCAATGGCTACGAAAAGTTGTGGTGATTTGTGGAAGGGCTTTGTGCTGTCTAAATAAAAGACTAAGGCCCTCCTGACATCTAGGGTGTGCAGTGCCTGCTCTTGTTGTGGTGATTTGTGGAAGGGCTTTGTGCTGTCTAAATAAAAGACTAAGGCCCTCCTGACATCTAGGGTGTGCAGAGCCTGCTCTTTCCTTGACACGTGAGGCTTGAGGTAAAACATTGGTAGAAATATGTCCTGAGAGACGTGAAAAGACGACACCACCTTGGGCAAGAAGGCAAGGTGGAGTCATAGTCTGACTTTATCCTTAAAGAAAACCGTATAGGGGGGATCTGAAGTGAGTGCTCTCAGTTCGGACACCCGCCTAGCTAACATGATCGCTACCAGGAGGGGTACCTTGTAGGACAGGTGTATTAGGGAACACGTTGCCATGAGTTTGGAAAGGACCAGACTGAGGTCCAACTGAGGGATAGTCTGTCGTACATGTGGGTAAAGTCTATCTAGCCCCTTCAGGAACCTGTTTACCATTGGATCAGCAAACAGAGTCTTTCCTCTGTCTCCCGGGTGGAAGGCAGAGATGGACGTCAAATGGACCTTAATTGAGGAAAAGGAGAGTCCCTGACGCCTGAGATCTAAAAGTAGTCTAGAATCAGGGGAATCGGGGCCTCTCTCTGGGAAACCCCTTTGTGGGAAGCCCAGATGTAGAACCGCTTCCACTTAGAAATGTATGTGGCCCTAGTGGAAGGTTTCCTACTGCCTAATAGAACTTCCTGAACCCGAGCTGAACACTGGAGTTCCGCTGCTGTCAGCCACGGAGCTTCCACGCCGTCAGGTGCAGGGAGTGCAGGTCTGGGTGGCGAAGCCTGCCTGAGTCCTGGGTGATCAGGTCCGGGAGCAATGGAAGGAGTATGGGCCTCTTGCATGACAGGCTGAGAAGGGTTGAGAACCAATGCTGCGGCGATGAGAATTATGGACGCCTTGAACTCCTGCACTTTCAGGAGGATCCTGTGGACTAGTGGGAATGGTGGGAAGGCATACAGTAAGCCCCTGGGCCAAGGGTGCAGAAGCGCGTCTCCTAGGGAGCCTCTTCCCAATCCCATGAGGGAGCAGTACCATGGGCACTTTTTGTTCTCCCAGGTAGTGAATAGGTCTAGTTGGGGAAACTCTGACTGGCGGAAGATGGCGTGGGCCACTTCCTTCCTGAGGGACCACTCATGGCCAGAAAAGGCCCTGCTTAACCTGTCTGCTAGGACATTCCGGGAACCCGGGAGGTAAGAGGCCATCGGGTAGATATCCACCCCGATGCAGAGGTCCCACAGGCGGATCGCCTCCTGACACAGGTTTATATACGACACATGTTGTCTGATAAGATAAGGACTGACCTGCCCCTGAGGTGGGGAAGGAAAGCCGCACAGGCCAATCTGACTGCTCAGAGTTCCCTGACATTGATGCACAGGGAGGGGTCATCCCTGGATCACATACCTTGCATCTGCTTGTCCCCCAGTGCGCTCCCCAACCGGTGTCCGACGCATCTGTCACATGTCGGATGGTTGATACAGGTCTGGAGAAGGGGACTCCTGCACAGACCTCCTCCTGATGGGTACACCAGTTCAGTGAGTTGAGGACAGTATCGGGAACCGTCACTACCCTGTCCCATGGGTGGAAAGCCAGCCACATTTGCATGTTGCACAACGTACATGCACGTGGCCATTAGGCCTAGGAGACATATGCAGGCCGTGGCTGTGGTCACCGGGAAGTTTTGCAGTCCCCGGACAGTGAGTCCTGGGGAGGGAGACCTTTGCCCATGTCGAGTCCAGGTTGGCACCTACCAACTCTATTATCAGGGTCAGAATGAGAGTTGATTTGTCCACAATTAGGAGAAGGCCTAGCTTCCTGATGAGGTTCTGGACCGTGATAATGTGGGCCTGCACCTGGTTCTCGTACCGTCCCCTCAGGAGCCAGTCATCTAGATAGGGGAAGACCTGGATGCCCTTTTCCTTAGAGCAGCGGCCACGACTGCCATACATTTGGTGAAGACTCGAGGGGCCATAGAAATAACAAAGGGGAGAGCCGTGAATTGGTAGTGATCCCTGTCCACCATAAAGTGGAGGAACCGCTGGTGGAGAGGCGTGATCAAGATGTGGCATCTTTCAGATTGAGGGCAGCATACCAGTCTCCAGAGGCTAACAAAGGGATTATAGATGCCAAGATTACCATCTTGAATTTGACTTTGACAATAAAGGAGTTCAGGTCTCTGAGGTCCAGTATGTGGCAGAAGCCTCCCTTGGCTTTCGGGACCAGGAAATACCGGGAGTAGAAACCCCTGCCCAAAAACTCAGAGGGAACCGGCTCTCTGGCTTCCAGAGTGAGAAGGTGCAGAACCTCCTCCCGTAGGAGAGGCTTGTGAGAGGGGGCCCTGAAAAGGGAGGGGGCTGGGAGAGAACAGGGGGGGGGTGGCATATCCCCCTTCCACTACTTCCATGACCCATTGGTCTGTTGTAATGGAGTGCCAGGCCTGGTTAAAAGGGAATAAACGGTCATGGAAAGTAGGCGGGGAGATTGGTATATTGCCCTCGGGCATCCCATCAAAATCCTCGGTGAGGGCCAAAGGGTTTGTTAGGTGGCCCCTGGCTCTGGTCCTGAGAAGGTTGGGGCCAGCATCTACCATTCCTCCCATTGCCATTTCTGATCCTGCGGCGGGGGAAGTCAGGATGTGGGGCCTGTTGGGGTAGTCTGAGGGTATTCCTGCCCGAGAACGAGTGCCTCTGGGTGGTCGGTGTGTGCATACCCAAAGACTTCAAGTGTGGCACGAGTGTCCTTGAGGCCATGGAGGCGCTGGTCCATCTGTTCAGAGAACAGCGAGGAGCACTTGAAGAGAAGGTCCTGGATGGTATTTTGGATCTCTGGGGGCACCCCGGACCTCTGTAGCCAGGAGCTGCTGCACAGGACCACTCCCGCAGCCATGGAGAGGGCAGCGGCATCGGCCGCATCGAGGGCTGCCTGGAGTGCTGCTCTAGAGATCGCCCTTCCTTCCCCATGGAGACAGGAGTCTCTTGGGACCAGGTCTGTGAATTTGTCCATGGAGGCCCAAGTGTTGTACATGCACTGTGACAGTAGGACTTGCTGGTTGGCAATATGGAGCTGAATGGCCCCAGTCGCATAGGCCTTCCTGCCCAGAAGGTCTGTCTTTTTGGCCTCCCTGTTCTTGGGGGTGGCAGCTGGTTGCCCCGTCTCTCCCTCTGGTTTGACCGCCTGCACCACCAGAGATCCCGGAGGCGGGTGGGAGAACAGGTACTCATTGCCCTCCTGAGGCACAAAATATCGCCTCTTGGCCATTTTGTCGGTTGGCAGTATGGAGGCTGGGGTTTTCCAGAGGGCCTTGGAGATCTTAGTCACCGTTTGATTAATCGGTAGGGCCACTCTGGTGGGGGCATCGGCCTGGAGGGTATCGACCATGGGATTGGAATCCTCGCACACCTCGGCTTGGACTCCCAGGCTCTGTGCCAGTTGGCGAAGGAGGTCTTGGTGGGCCCTGATGCCCATAGAGGGCATGGATGGAAGGGCATCCCCTAAGGCCCTGTCCAGGGAGGATGATGATGACCTCTTTTGGGCCACCTCCGCAGGCGCCACCATTTGCAAGAGGGCTTGTGAAGACCCGGACACTGATGGTGGTGTTGGCTGGCTCAGTGGAGCCCCGCTTCTCGATGGTCTTGGAGAAGCCTAACCCGGAGGTAGCAACTGCACCAGCGTTGGAGATCAAATCAGGGGAGTCGCCAATGGGGGTGCCCGAGGCCCCAAGATGACTGACCCTGCCCTTGAAGGATCTGCACCCTGGCTCTGGTGATAGGCCCAGGGTGTCCAGAATGGCCACCGACCTGGAGGTTGCAGGGGCCATGTTTGTTGCATCATCAGCACCGGAACCGACTGTGCCCACTGCTGCTGATGGTAGTGAGCAGAGGAGCTGTGGTGCCGCGATTGGCGCCGCAAGTGGTACCAGTGTCGAGAGCAGGATCTGGCGCCCCTTGACGACCAAGTTGACTCTGCCTCTGAGTCGGTTGAGTACTCCGAAGGTGACCAGGGCGGAGTCGTTGGGGGTTCTGCTGAGGTTGCCGACGCTGGAGCGTGTCTGGCCATCGACTCAGATTTGCTGTGGTTCCGGGAAGGTGGGGGTGGCATGGCTGGACCCAGGGCCAGTAAGCTCTGGGCGGAGATAGGAGCCACAGAGCTGGGTGCCAGGGATGGTACTGTATGGTGGTACTGTGTTGGTACTGGGCCCGGTGCCGTGTCCCATGCCACATCTGGTACCGGGTTGGATCAGATGTCGGTGCTGCGGTTGTTGCCAGAGTTGTGGGCTGCACCGAATGGTGTTTTCTGGCATCCTGGACTACGTCGTCAGACGCCATCGATAGCGGTCAGTGCCGGTCATTCCCATGACCTCTGGCAGGGGTCGGTGTCGGAGGAGGCGAGGGGGATGACTCAGTCAAGTCCCTGGCTGCCTTGAAGGCCTCCAGAGTGGAGGGTTCAGGTAAGTCCCCCAGTGGGCTGGGCTCTCAGCGCAGAGATAAACGTCCGCCCGACTGAGATGGTCTAGGTTCAGCACTTGATGGTGCCACGTGCACCACTGAAGGGCGCATGGAGGGCATGCGCCTTGGAGGTGATCTACCTCTGTTAGGCCTCTTCTTCTTCTGCAGTACCACAGACTGCGACCGGTGCCAAGGCCTGCGTGGTGCTGGGGAGGCACAAGAGTGTGCTGAAGCCTCCTGCACAGACACCGGTGTGCTATGAGAAGCCAGTACCGGGTCCAACGCCAGTGCCAGTCTTAGGGCTGCCTCCATGAGAATAATCTTGAGGCGCGATTCTCTCCCTCACTTTGTGCGGGGTTTAAAAGCTTTGCAAATTTTGCAGGACTCTGAAAAGTGAGCCTCTCCGAGGCACTTCAGGTAGGATGAATGTGGATTGCAGCAGGGCATGGGCTGGTGGCACTTTTAGCAGGGTTTGAATCCTTGTGGCAAATAAACACAGATACTACTCTAACTCAATTTACAACTCTTAACAGATAATTAACTAACGGGTAACAAAGAACTCCTTAAGTACTAGTAGCATTTGCTTAGCCATAGCTGAGGGATGTTCCAACGACCCTCATGGCGGTAAGAAGGAACTGAGAAGGTGGGGGGGCCAGCAGGGGTATAGATTGGCCAGTATACCGGCGCCACACCAGGGGGCTCCCTGCTGGCCCGACGGGTACTGCTGAGGGAAAAATCTCCGACGATGCATGCACGCTGTGCACACACACTTACATGGAATGGACATGAGCAATCACTTGAAGAAGAATCCTTGTTTTCTTTCCGTAGTTAAGTGTGTTTTTTAAAGCAGGCTCAAGAATCGCATTTCACAAAGGGCATACAATTTTATATTACCCAGATCTTCTTTATGGCATGTTAATGTAATATCAGGCAGCAAATGAGGCAACACTGGAATCTTTGGTAACTCCAAAACACGTCCAACGACTAATGTGACAGTCTTTGGTACAGCTCGGAGAAAACTGACTGCATCTGTGTGTGTCATGTTAGTGACATCCATGTCATTAACCTATGAAGAGAAAAGCAACAGAAACATCCGCATTACTATTGCAATTAATACTAAGAAAATTCCTGTTATTTGTATTTCATACGAACGGACAAAAATATAAATGCTGTAAACACAACTGCAATCTGTGATGTTATCTATTTACAGGGGCAAAAATTGAAAATGGTAGAAGAAACAAATTCTGGATTATCAAAATAGTAGATATATTACAAAAAGATACAATATATACCCAGGAGCAGCCCGAGGGCGGCTACGGCAGCTGGTGCCCTAGGTGGAAGGCGCAATTGGCACCCCTGCCTGCATGGCCGTCAATGGCCCTGACGTCATCACGGGGCACCCGGGCCGGTGGCTCCCTAGGCAACTGCCTAGTTTGCCTAGGCTCACAGGCCCGCCCCTGTATATACCAATTCCCATAAATAGGTGGCCTGAAAGCCAGACTCAGTCCCTAATTCAGACTGTTTTATGGTTTTATTGTTCACCTAAGAGAAAAAGCTATTCTACCTCTTCAGGTACTCTCACCTTCTCATCACTGTTGGAGGTGAGCCATGTCCACCCTGATTGAATTAGCATTGATGTTACACTCCCATCTCAGTAGCCCTGCCTTTCTTTTACTTCAGACACCTGAGGAAGTGAGGTGTAAAACTTGTATCTCATGAAAGCTTATGCCCTAATAAATCTGTTAGTCTTTAAGGTGCCACCAGACTCTTTGTTGGTCTACTTGCAAAGACTGGCATTCATGATAAACTCAATGTATTCTGAGTGGTACCATTGATTTCAGTGGAATTACTAACTGAATGTGTAAGCCTTTGCAGGATAGTGGCCTAAGAACGTAATTAAGCACATTCTTCTTCCACAACATTTTACAATGTTAGCATTTGCTTGTGTATCTGTATTAATTGACTTTTTATGTTCTGTTCATTGGAAGGTGTGTAACACATGAAAATAGTCAAGCTTACCTGAACAGTTCCTCTCTGAGACTAGATGACGATAAATTGTCCCTTCGGACCTTAAAGTCTATGAATATTCAGAAAAGACCCCCTCACTGTAACCTCAAAGATCGGATATACTGACTCCAACCCTTTCCATTGTTTTGCTGTCTGGAAGGATTACACAGATGTTAACAGCAAAAGTTTTAGGTTTATGTTACATTTAATAGTTAGGTTGGTTCAATAGCTGTTATGTTATGAATTTCAATATGTGCATTTAGTTGTTGGCTTTGCATCCACATATTTGACTCAGCACACCACAGGATCCAGAGTTCTTATTTTTTGGTGTAAGGTTTGTTTGTTTCATCTCAGTTATCACAGAAATCCCTAGAAGCTTGAATTGTATTTCACTACAAAATGTTACTTGTCTCACCTTGATGAGCCGGTCTCCTGGACGTAGCCTCCCATCACTTTTGGCAGGATCCTGAATAACATCATGAATGTAACAACCAATGTTATCGTTGCCTTTGGTCACTGTAAAGCCCAGGCTTCCTTTTTCTGATTTTGTCATGGTAACATGGAGTTCCACTTCCTAGAGGAAAAACAGTGTTTTTTAAAAATGTGTTCTGGAATATGGAGAGTTTGATATACATAGATAAATAGCATATACTGTACTGTATGAAAGGCATGGTCATCTGAATGAGCTGCTTCTATTAAGATTGCATAAGGTGATATACTTTACTGACTAATTTACTTGAATCAAATATAGGCCCTAATCCTGCAAACACATCTGCATTTGGGTGTACGTATTGAAATCAGTGGGTCTACTCATGCACATAAAGTTAAGCAGGGGCATAATATCTTATGGGACAGGATTAGGACCATACTGAGTATATCAACTAGAATAAAACTGGGCAAGAGAGGGGAAGGTGCTCCCTTACAAAAGGATAAAGCTTTATGTTTCTATTATTAAGCTGGAGTACTATATTGAATAACTTGGTATTAAACACAAGTATGCATTTTATATTATAAAATTATAATGTTCATGCATTTTATGTTATACATTTATGATTGTGTTTTACTTGCACAGAAATTAACAGACGACGAAAGTGTGAAAAAAAGAGATTAATAGTATAATGATGCATTTATGAATAATGAGTTTAGCATTCATTTTTAAACCCTGAAGTATTGCCCCGATAGGCTTGTCTAAATGGTTCTGCAAATGTCTTGTTTACCACCTGGCCTGCAAAACCCTGTTAGCACACAGAGAGGTCCCTACTGTGCATTAACCTGCTAATCTCGGCTGGCAGATTGTCTTTCATTTCAAGCATGTGGCAGGCAGCATTTTGCTATTATTTATGGAGGCTCCATCCTCATCCATCAGCTGATCTCCCTGCCAGCACAGGGAGCCTTGAATCTCTGCGCGGGGCTCAGAACATAGCTGCGCGGCTGCTTAGCCATGCAATGAAGAAGCAACTTTTGTCTTTATTTCAAAGAGTAAGTAAAACATTTGAATCTTTCAAGTATCTCCTTGGGACACCATGTAAGCCAGGGCTACTCAGCATGTGGCCCGTGGGCTGCATGCAGCCTGTTGTGTGGTTTGGGTTTATGCAGGGCTCAACACACAGTCTGCGAGTGGGTTCCTTTGAACATGGCTTCCACTGGGAACACACTACACAATGGCGTGGCGTCTCCCAGATGGGGTGAGCACTGAAAGACGCAAGCGTATGGGCTGGCTGGAACAGACGGGTACAGGGTTTCCACACAGGGAGGAGGTGCCAGGAGTGCCGGGGCATAGTGTGAAAGAAGCTATTTGTATATATTTGCATGTACATGCAACCACACTTAAGTTGCGGCCCTCGGCATGTGCCGTATCATTGTGGCCCCTGTGGCTTCCAAAGTTGAGTAGCCCTGATCTAAGCAATGATGCCATTCCTATTGTCGCAAATGGCTACTTTCTATATTTTAGGAGAGCCATTTGCAAAACACATCCTCAGTTAACTATACATCTATATTAGAAGCTAGAACAATTATTCTAATTTTAAGTAAATATAAATAGGATGCATTTTGTTATGGCCAAAAATCAAGACTAGCCCCTCCCCCATAAAGATACAATCTTTAACACAATTATGGTGGGGAGAGAGAGACAAAGAGAGGGAGAGTACTTACTGGTTCATAGTCATCAGTATGTTTTTCAAATTGGCTGAGCAGTGATGTTTTCTTCTCTCTTTGTGGAACTAGCTCTGAGATGGAATTGATGTAGGCATCATCCATTAAACTAGGGATGGCAACCTCAGTTACAGTTCTACAGCTTGGTATTGGTGGCAAGTCCAAGGGTAGAGGACATGGAGGATTACTATGAGAAGAGAGAGAAAAAAACGGTTATTTACCTTCATTACTGTTGCTTTTCGAGATGTGTTGCTCATGTCCATTTCACTTGGGTGTGCGTGCACTGCATGCACGGATTGTTGGAGAGTTTTCCCTTAGTGGTACCCATTGGGCCAGCAGGGGAGCCCGCTGGAATGGCACCACTATATCGGTGGGGCCCTCCAGCCCCTCTGTTCTTTCTTGCCAGAACCCTCCGACGCGTGGGAGATGGGTAGGATGTGGAATGGACATGGCAACACATCTTGAAGAACAACAGTTATGAAGGTAAGTAACCATTTTTTCTTCGAGTGCTTGCTCATGTCCATTCCATTTAGGTGACCCCAAAGCCAAATCCCAGGAAGCGGGGTTGAAGCCCTATGGCGAGACGGACTGCAACACAGCCCTATCCACACTGGCATCCTCCTTGGCCTGCTGTGCTGTGGCATAGTGGTTTGCAAAGGTGAGCACTGATGACTAGGTAGCCACCCCGCAAATCTCTACAATGGGCACCTGAGCAGTGAAGGCCATGGAAGAAGCCTGGGCCCTGGTCAAGTGAGCTGTGACAGGTGGAGTCGGAACCTGTGCCAGCTTGTAACATGCCTTAATGCAGGCTGTGATCCAGGACAAAATATGCTGGGCTGACACAGGCTGGTCCTTTCTCCTGTCTGCTATGGACACAAACATTTGGGGGGACTTGTGGGAAGGTTTGGTCCTCTCCAAATTAAAAGCTAAAACATGTCTCACATCAAGAGTGTGTAGAGCCTGTTCTGTCCTGGAGCTGTGGGGCTTGAGTAAAAAGCAGGAAGGAAAGTGTCCTGGTGAATGTGAAAGTGAGAAACCACCTTAGATAGAAAGGCAGATGGGAGCGTAGCCTGAACTTATCCTTAAAAAAGACCGTATATGGAGGGGCCACTGATAGGGCCCTCAGTCCCGACACTTGCATGGCAGAGGTAATGGCCACCAGGAAAGACACATTCCAGAAGAGATGCAGGAGGGAGCATGTCGCCCACGGCTGGAGGAGAGGGGGAGGGGGACCCAGGAGCCTTGTAAGAACCAGATTGAGGTCCCAAGAGGGCAAGGGCTCGCACACCTGGGGGTGGACCCAATCCAACCCCTTAAGAAAGTGCACCATGGGGTCCATGAAAACGAACCTGCCACGTGAGCCTGAATGAAAGTCTGAGATGGCTGCTAAGTGCACCAGTACTGAGGAAGGGGCCAGACCATGGTGCCTAAGGCTCAGAAGGAAATCCATAGGAGAGAACCTTTTACCCTCTGACCAGAGAATGAAGCACTTCAACTTTGCCAGGTAAGAGGACCTCGTGGAAGCTCCCCAAGAGGACTGGCTGGACCTGTTCCGAACACTGTCTCTACATGGCCGTCAGCCATGACATGAGGTGCAGGGAGCAGAACTTCGGGTGGCGAAGCCTACCAAATTTCTGAAATATCAGGTCCAGGAATAGGGAGAGGGCCAGTGGCTGCTCTACCAAACGTGTGAGGAGAACTGGGAACTGCTAAAGCCACGCCGAGGCTCCGAGGATTAGAGAGGCCTATAATTCCCTGACCCTGAAAATCACCTTGTGGATCAGCGGAAAGGGAGAGAAGGCATACAGAAGGCCCCGAGGCCAAGGGATCATGAGGGCATCCCCCAGAGATTCCAGGCTGTGGCTGAATAGGAAGCAAAAGCGGGGACACGTCATAGAATCAGAATCCTAGGGCTGGAAGAGATCTCAGGAGGTCATCGAGTTCAGCCCCCTCCCCAAAGCAGGACCAATCCCAATTAAATCATCCCAGCCAGGGCTTTTTCAAGCCAGGACTTAAAAACCTATAGGAATGGAGATTCCACCACCTCCCTAGGTAACCCATTCCAGTGCTTCACCACCCTCCTAGTGAAATAGTTGTTCCCAATATCCAACCTAGACCTCCCCCACTGTAACTTGAGACCATTGCTCCTTATTCTGCCATCTGTCACCACTGAAAATAGCTTCTCTCCATCCTCTTTGGAACCTCCCTTCAGGAAGTTGAAGGCTGCTATCAAATCCCCCCTCACTCTTCTCTTCTCTTCTGCAGACTAAATAAGGCCCAATCCCTCAGCCTCTTCTCATAGGTCATGTACTCCAGACCCCTAATCATTTTGGTTGCCCTCTGCTGGACTCTCTCAAATGTGTCCACATTTTTGCTATAATGGGTTTGCCCAGAACTGGCCACAATACTCCAGATGAGGCTTCACCAGTGCTGAATAAAAAGGAATAATCACTTCTCTAAATCCACTGGAAATGCTCCTCCTAACGCAGCCTAATATGTCATTAGCCTTCTTGGCTACACTGTTGACTCATCCAGTTTCTCACCCACTGTAATCCCCAGGTCCTTTTCTGCTGAACTGCTACCTAACCAGTCAGTCCCCAGCCTGTAACAATGCTTGGGATTCTTCTATCCCAAGTGCAGGACTTCAGATTTCTTTTGGCCCATTCCTCTGATTTGTCTAGGTCACTCTGGACCCTATCCCTGCTCTCCAATGTATCTACCTCTTCCCCTAGCTTTTGTGTAATCCGCAAACTTGCTGAGGGTGCCATCCATCTCCTCTTCCAGGTCATTAAAAAAATGCTGAACAAAACCGGTCCTAGAACCCATCTTTGGGACACTCCCCTTGAAACCAACCACCAACCAGACAGCGAACCATCGACTACTACCCTTTGGGCCTGACAATCTAGCCAGCTTTCTATCCATCTTATAGTCCATTTATCCAATCCATACTTCCTTAACTTGCTGGCAAGAATATTTTGGGAAACTGTATCAAAAGCTTTGCTAAAGTTAAGATATATCACATCCACTGACTTCCCCATGTCCACAGAACCAGTTACCTCATCATAGAAGCTAATCAGGTCAGGCATGACTTCCCCTTAGTGAATCCATGTTGACTATTCCTGATCACTTTCCCCTCTTTCAGGAGCTTCAAAGTTGCTTCCTTTTGCTGTGGGTTGCAAACAGGTCCAAGTGGGGAAAACCCCACCTGTGGAAAATAGACCGGGCTACGTTAGCCCTGAGGGGACCACTCATGCCCCTTGAAGGACCTGCTGAGGTGATCTGCCAACCCATTCTGGGTCCCAGGGAGGGAAGTGCCACCAGGTGGATATTGTGAGCTACGCAGAACTCCCAGGGGAGGAAGGCTTCTGTGCACAGGGTATAGAAGTGAGCACCACCCTGTCAGTTTATATAAAACATCGCTGTCATGTTTTCTGTCAAAATTGAAATGCACTTGTTTTGAAGTTGTGGCAGGGAAACACTGCATGCAAGGCGAACAGCTCTCAACTCCCTGATGTTTATATGGAGGGAGAGGTCTGTAGGGCCCCACGTATCTTGTGTCCGTAGCTTCCCAAGGTGGGGTCCCCAACACGTATTAGAAGTGTCTGTCACCACCTGAATGGCCAGGGAAGGGCTGTAGAACGGCATCCCACCACAGACCACCTCCTTTCACAGCCACCAGTCGAGGGATTTCAACATGTCTGCAGGTACCATCACTACCGTGTATATGTGCTAGAATGATGGGTAGTGGGTCCACGCCAGTCAGAGCTGGAGTGGACATAACCTGAGCCTGGCATGTCGTACCACATTAGTGAAGGCTGCAATGAACCCTGAACCCTCATGCAACACCAGGACATCATGGTGGAGAATGACTGGAGACTCAGGATGGCCTCCTTTATTGCCAGGAAGCACGCTATGGGCAGGGAGGCTCCAGATAAGCCCCCACAAACTCTACTATTTGTGTGGGGGTCAGGGTGGATTTGGCCTCTTTTAGGATAAGGCCCAGCCTGCGGAACAGCTCCCTGATGAGGGATATTTGGTTGGACACCTAGGAGGGGGTGGGGGGAAGAACATTTTATAAGCCAATCATCCAGGTATGGGTAGACCTGGACCCTTTGCTTCCTCCAGAAGGCGGCTACCACCGCCATATACTTTGTAAAAACTCTGGGGGGCGTAGAAAGGCCAAAGGGAAGGGCCATAAATTGATAACGGTCGCGGTCCACCAGAAAGTGGAGGAATCACCTGTGTGGGGGTGTGATAGAGATGTGGAGTTAGGCATCCGGGAGAATGAAAGCAGCGTACCCGTCTCCTGTGGCCAGGGAAGGGATGATCAAGGCCAATGTTACCCTTTTGAACTTTTACTTTACTATGAAAGTGTTGAGCTCCCTCAGGTCCAGAATGAGGGGGAAGCCAATCTTGGCCTTTGGGACCAAGAAGTATTGCGAGTAGGACCTCCTCTACTATCCCCAGATTGAAAAGCTTCTACACTACCACCCTGAAAGATGCTCATGAGAGGGATCCCTGAAGAGGAAGGGTGTAGAGAAATGGGGGAGGGAGGGAAGGACAGGAGCAGAAGTTAGATGAAATAACCACTTCTCACCATGCCTATGACCCTGCAGTCTGTTGTGATATGTGACCAGGCACAGTGGAAGGGGAAAAGGTGATTGGTAAAAGGCCTCTTGTCCAAGACTGGTGTGCTGTCCTCACTCACACCTTCAAAGATTTGGCCTAGGGCCCTGGGGCTTCTTTAAGGGGCCCGCCCCTTGGTTGGATGAAGAGCAAGACAGCTGCCTGCCATTTCTCTTATTATTATTACAGCCTCTGTGGCTGGAGAAATCTGGCCTATTCCCCTGCTTGAAAGGGAGGGATGCCTAGGGACCCGAGGGTTGCTCTAGAGCAGTGTTTCTCAACCAGTGGTACGAGTACCCTAAGGGTAGTCAAGAGAAGTCTGGGGATTACGTCAACACAACTGAAATTTGGAGAAAACTGAATTTTTGTTTTAAAGTTTTATAGTGTTTTATTATTTTTGTACTTTTTACACCCAAAAATTTCATCACTTGCCCGGCTACAATTAAGTTGTTTAAACAAATGTGTTGCAATGGTAGAAAAAAATGTGTGTCTGAAAACTGAAGGTACACGGGGTACTTATAATTTTTTTAAAGGATACTTTATTAAAAAAGGTTGAGAAACACTACCTTAGAGTGTTTTATCATGTGGATGCTGGTGTTGGTCTGCTCTGAAAACAGGCTGTGCCCTTGAAAGGCAGCTTCTGGATAGTTTGCTCTAGACTTCTGGTGGAATGCCAGATATCTGGGGCCATGCGCCTCTGTACAAGACCAGGCCAGTTGTCATACTGCGAGCCACCATATCCGTGGAGTTCAAGGTAGCCTGGATTGCCACCTGGGACAAGACCTTTCCCTCCTCAGACAAGGCCTTATATTCCACCTAGAATCCTGGGGCAGTGACTCCCTAAATTTGTCTTTGCTGCCCAGGAGTTGAAGGCATACCTAGTCAGGAGAACCTGCTGATTAGCAACCTTGAGCAGGAGACTCCCTGAGGCATAGGCCTTGTGACCCAATAGGTCTGACTGCTTGGCCTCCCTATTCTTGGGAGTAGGGAGGCTTTCCATGATGCTCACGGTGGTTAACAGCCTGCACTACTATCAAGCGTAGTGGTGGGTGTGAGAATAAGGGGGGAGGCTTTCCATGATGTTCACGGTGGTTAACAGCCTGCACTACTATCAAGCGTAGTGGTGGGTGTGAGAATAAATGCTCATGGCCCGCTTAGAGGACAAAGTCCTGCCACTCTGCCTTGTTGTCCATGGGTGGTATGGATGCTGACACACCCTCTGACGGGGGGCTAAGGGGATTCACTCCGGATTGCTGAGGCCTGTTCTGGTGCCAGGGAGCTGGGTAACGGTGTGGCCAAAGGCGGTACTTGGGGTCCCCAACATGAGGATCCCATGGTGGGAGGAGCACTCCCTTAGGCCTGATGGTATGCCAACAGAGTCCAGGGGGGCCACTGGTCTGGGGGCTGCCACTGTGGGGCCAGGTCTGTGGTAGTGAATGGCCTGAGGCATTGCAATACTGCTTGCGGTGCCGAGTGTGGGAATGGCACCAGGACCTGAATTGACACCTGGAGCCTAATTAGCACCAGAACCAAGAATGACACAGCATCACTTGGGACCGTACCTACCCAAAGTCAGAATCTGTTGAATAGTCGGACTCTGACCAAGGCAGGGCCAAGGTGGGGCCTAGGGAACGGTGCCACTCCATGTGCTGAACCATGGACGCTAGCTTGCGCCAATGCCAGACCAGTGGTGGGGGTATCAGATGCTCCAGTGCTGCAGGCTTTGCCGCTGGAACAAGGGTGCTGGAGGCCGAGCGCTCTCTGGACTCCCACGAGAGCATGGCCACTGGCGCCGAAGGGGCTGCTAGTGCCAGCGTGGATGTGAGCACTGGGGAGCGCAGAGCTGCATGGGCCACTGATCACAAGGGCACTGGAGTAGGCGCTGATCCTAATAAGTTCAAGCCTGGATCTGGTGCCATCAACAAGGTACAGGCCCGAGGCCGGTCCTCGTGCTCCAGTGGAGGCAAGGGCGAGTCCACGGTCAACTCAACTAATTCCCACGCTGCCTGAAACAGCAGCTCCTCCTCTGCACCATGACTTTTGGTCACACTCGACTGGCCACACTCTGATCCAGGAGCAGCAGACCTTGAGGCCAGTGCAGGCGCAACAAAGTATCCTGACTGAGCATGCGGAGATCTGCCACTCTCCAATCTCCTCTTCTGGCATGACACCGGCAATTGCAAACGTGCTGGGCCAATGGTGTCTCGACGCCGATGAGGCCCCCGAGGACTCTGGTGCCTCCCGCACTGAGGGCAGTGGTCTGTGGGAATCCAGTGCTGCGTCCGCGGTCAGTGCCGGGTAAGGAGCAACCCCATTAGGAATACTTTCAAGCATGACTCTCTCAGGCTTAAAACTATGACAGATTTTGTAGTTGGCTGGGATGTGGGTCTCTGCCAAACACTTCAAACACGAGTTGTGTGGGTCACCGCAGGGCATAGGTTTGGAACAGTCAGCGCAGGGCTTAAAGCTGTGAGGCTCTGGCATGCACCAGGGTGGGGAGGGAAGAGGATATAACAAGAGAGCCCCAAACCAACATGAACCTTATCTAACTCTGGCTAAACAACTATTTAACAGGAAGAGCAACTTGGAGGGAACTTGGGGTGTGTCTAGACTACACCTCTCTGCTGACAGAGAGATGTAGATTAGGCACATAGAAATTGCTAATAAAGTGGGATTTAACTATCCCGTGCTTCATCAGCATAAAAATGGCCACCGCTTTTTTTTGGCATGGAGCTTTGTCAAAGAAAAATGGCAGTCTAGAGGCTGATCTTTTGAAAAATAAAGCCTTTTTCGAAAGATCCTGTAAACGTCAGGCCAGTTGATTGGCAGCCGGCGCCGGACAAAGGGCCTGAAGGGCTATGCCCATGCCGAACGTAAAAGGCTTGGAGGGGCAGAACCGGGGGAAGGGGGAGCGGACGTCCCGTGACGTCATTAATGGTAGCCATGCGGCCAGAGGGAACTATAAAAAGCAGAAGGACGCCCAGAGAGGGGAAGAAGACAGAGCAGATGCCAAGGGGGCGAGGCAGGCGCCTTCCTTCCTCCCTAGGGAGAAGACTGGACCTAGAGGACAGTGACGGACTGAGAATGTGGCGTAACACCTCGGGTGAGCTGAAAGAGCCGGGGGGGTGATGCCCCCGGAGGGTCAACGGGGAAGGAAGTAGCCCAGGATGGGTCTGGAAAGCCCGAGGGCTGGTGAGTTTCGGGCAGCAGTCCTGGGCTGGGGTTTGGAGAGTAGGAGGGCCCAAACCCCCCTTCCCCGCCAACCGACAGTCAACCCAGAGTAGAGAGAGGGCACAGGGAAGCAGGGCACCGTGCTGTGGTGACTCTGGAGCAAGCGTCCCTAGTAAGAATCACAGTGGGGGCCCTACCGTGGCCAGAGTAACCCCGGGGCCCAATCCGAGAAGTGGATTGTGGTGCTCCTGCAGACGGGCCCCGGACAGTACCCCTAAGGGAAAATTCTCTGACAAGCCGTGCACGCGGCACATATACACCTAAGTGGAATAGACATGAGCAAGCACTCAAAGAAGAACAAGAGGTTGAATAGTTTATAATATTTGAGTCAGACTTTGTTACTTACATGATTAGAGCTCTGCAAAGATACTTTTTTTTCACTTCACAGGTATTCAGGAATGAACTCTGATATTTCTGCATTTACAATTTGAAGCAGGGTCAAACTGTACCATCCCAAATAAACACATTTTTAAAAATATGAAAATGACTAGATTTTAGGTGGACAAAGACTTAATTTTTTACAAGTAGGCCTTATTATCCATTTTTGCAGAGAAATTGTTCTAGGCTTGCAAAATCTAAGTATTTCTTTTTACAAAATTATAATCATACCTGTCTTCAAACTCTGGCTTGCTGGGAGTCTCATGAGCAGAGTAGTAGATGGTACGGATTTCTTCCTCCTGGGTACAAGGAGTTTCATACTGACTCTGTGCAGGACCCATCATTTTGTCCAGAGATTGGTACAGGGCCGAATTCCAGCCAGGGCTTGCTGTCTGTGTTGGGGTCACCACTACCTCTTCTTCACCACTCCCACTACTGTCACTGTAGCTGTCTCTTCTAGAGGGAGATTTTAGCTGCTTTTTGCTCTTATCAGTCACTTCATATTCATCTGAGCTATCACCTTGATCTCCATTTGACACACAAGAGGTTTCTTTGCTGACATCTGGAAATATGTGTTGTGGGGAATGTATGGGAGTCTGCAAAAAATGTGATGTTTAACAAACCAAGACTCTGGCTTTAATGGTCATCTATTCACTTTAGATTTGGCATAAAATGTGTAAAGAATGCAGAAATAATCAATCACACTTAATCAAAAGTTTATTCTATTTACTTCAAAAGTCAGCAGTGGGGACCAAATTCAACCCTGGTAACTCCAGAGAGTTCGGGGTGAATTTAATTTATTTTTATAACCCGCTCACCAGCTGCATGGTTCTGCTCTCTGCACATGCGCAGATCGCTCTGCGCTGGCTCTTCTGGGGTGTAATCTACTTGCCAAACATGTGTATTTAGGCAAACGTGTATTTTCAAACACGTGTATTTAGGAAAACTACTCAAACTGTGGGTAGCATGAAAAGGCAGCTATTTAGCTGATATAAATGATCAATGGGCCTATGACAATTTACACCAGCTGCAGAGTTGTCCACAAAAGTTTCAACATTTGGCTCCAATGCCATTTCCCAAAGAACTGTATAATCACATTCCCATAAACATGATGTATCAATTAATGATGGCTATGGAATCTTTGATTGTTCCATTTATTCATCTCATGGGAAACCTCTGTATTCAGGTACTCCATCTACCTCTTCCTTTTGCTCCTTTTGCCCTTTTTTCAAATTTGTATTAGATGGCTACACACACAATACAAATCTGTTTCTATTATTAGGTAAAAACAGTTTTTATTTGGTTTAAAGTGACCTGATTTGAAGACGGTTTATCTGTAACTTTTCAATTGTTATTACTGAAATCAACTTTACTAATATGGAGTTACAAATGTTTTTTGATGCAGGATAGATAGTCTACTTTCCAAGTACGCTAAAATATCTAAAACAGAGATTGTGCTCTTTGGACTTGATCTGATGGAGACATTTTACAAATCCTCTTTGGGATCATGCATTTTTGGCTGAGTTTTTCCAGTTTTATATACAGCTGAACTAAACTATAAATAATTGTTGATATTAAATGGCAGTTTCATGGCTAATTCACCATATATCTCACAGAAAATGTAACCCTAGCTGAGGACAACTTGAAACTAACAATGAACACTACCAAGGAAAATATATGTGGCATTACACTTCACATTCTTCATATGGAAATTTGCATATGATATGAATAGGACATAAGTGAGATAGGCTTTGGGAAAGATAGCTCATGTAAGATATCATCGGAACAGTTATGATTTACTAATCATTCTCTTATTTGTACTGTGACCGGGTCAGTCCCCCTCCTGAGACCCTGACCCCTGTAACATCTACTATCTCACCCTTTGAGGGCTGCAGCGGGACCCTCACTTGCAGAGTTTTTAGCCCTGGGCCTTCCTGACCCCCAGCAGAAAGAATAGAGTACTGGGCTGAAGCCCTGGCCCAGTCACAGCTGAGTAGTGAGCCCCCTTCTAGCCCCGTGGGGACAGGGAGCCCTTCAACACTCCCTGCTCGAGCCCCTCACCTCCCCCTGCAGCCTTTAGCAGGGCTGGAGGTTCCTTCCGTTCCGCTTCTCTGAGTCTCCTTACCCCTGTGTTGTTTGTTCCTCTCCACGCTCCTCCTCCACTCTCTCTCCTTCTTCTTCTGCCCTAGGAAAGGCTTTTAAAGAGGCCCTGTGGCAGCCTAATTCAGCTCCCCTGGCCCTTAATTAGTTTGCAGCTGCCTGTCTCAGCTGCCCCTTTTCCCTTTTAACAGGCTTTTTACCCTTCCCTGTCACAGTATGTATGTATCATTTCTGTATCTGATGTTACAGTAATTGACCAATGTATCTGTATTTTAACTATGCTGCTTTGGGTGATACCCATTTCTAAAACTTCAGGTACCACAATGGAAAAGCCTGACAGGGCTAATGGTCCAAGAGCATGGAGAATTGACTATGAATAGGTTTGGCCTTCCTATGGACGCTCCATACTATTACTGACTCATGGACTCTGTGATGCCAGAATCAGATGACCGTGGTCATCTGATACTGACTCTATCTTGGACTGCTGATCTGTTCCACTGGTAGGTGTGGGAATAAAACAAAGGATGCCCACCTCTGGAAATTCTATACAAGGTGAGGGAGGAAAACAATCAATGTATTTGTTTGCTTCTACCCTGCCTTCCCACCCAGAGACATACTTGAAAACATCTGTAAACAAAGAGACTGTAATGGGAGGGTGGGGGGGAGGGGAAAGTGGGGGGTTCAAAGAACTGCTGGACCTAAGCTAACAGGTCCTGGCCTGTGAAGGACTCTATCTAAATAATATCTAAGATGAAGAATTATTTGTAACCAATTTCTTTACTGAATCAAGCTTAGTTTGTGTGATTTGTTTCATTGTCTTAGTAATTTGCTTTGCTCTGCAATCTCTGTAACCACTGAAATACACCTTATCTCTTATTTCTTGTTTATGATATAACCCAGTTGATGTAATTTCTACTGGAGGGGGAGGGGAGGAAGTCGTACATACCTTCCTCCACATTGAGGGAAGAGGTGAATTTCATATAATTTTGGGTTTGTACTCAAAAGGCAGCAGATATTTTGGCACTGTGGCAAATCCCTTAAGATGAGCTTTTCCATAGCTGATCGCAGTGTGGGTATGATTCTGCAGTTGGGTATGGCCTTGCCTGTATACTTGGCTGGAAGAAGCGTGTGAGTTTGGCTCAGCAAGACTAGGTAAAGGGAATTCAGGCTAGCGGAAAAGGCAGGCTCAGTGGTACCTTGAGCACATCTGATGGCACTCAAGGGGTCTAAATTGTCACAGTGTTGTTGTAGTATTTTAAGGAATTTAGGAGTCCATTTTTTAAATGTATTATTATAAATATACAAAGATCCTTGCATTGTCTTTTTTCTATGAAAAAGGCTGTTTCTATTTTATGCACGTGTGACTTAACATAGCAAACACATTCTCATGATCTGCCTATTCCCCCACCACTTCTCTATTTTTCATTTACACATGCAGTTAATGTATTCTGAATAAACAAAACTTAATGAAGAGAAATGTAAACATCATATGTCATAGATCTTACCAACAGAGAAGGATCAATGTCTGGTAGTATGCCAGGTGGTGGCCTGCAAAGGAGAAGAGAGACTTCTGGGGACGTTCCTCTGAGAGCTGAGATGACCTCCTACAGGTACAATTGATTTTGTATTAGACACAGGTCCCACTTGCAAGGTACCTATTACTTACAAGTAAGACAACGGAGAGAGCTCTAACCTGCTGAGATAATCCTTTTAACGAAGCTTCGTTCACTTTCAGAATGACATCCCCAATTTCAATTTGTCCACTTTCTGCTGCAGGCTGCCCAGGGAAGAGCTTTTTAACCCTCACTATGCTTGAGCCCAGTTGGTCTGGAGTAAAGCTGTCTTCACGACAAAAACTGAACCCCAGGCCTGAGCTGTTCTTCAGCAACTTTACCTCAAATATATTGTCTGCAAAATAAATACAAATAATAGAATACTTTTCTCTTTTCTTATAGTACTCTGTCCTTGAAGGCTGCTTATTCAGAAATAACAATCAGATTGTGTCCCACCAGTGATTACATTAATAGTTTGGGTAAGGGTTACCATGTGGAAAAGTTTTGTAAGAACATCCCTGTGTTTCTGTATATGATGGGTTTAGACAAAACATACAAAAATTACTCATGGTTTCATTCCCCACTGCTCTTATCTTGGAAATGTCCACATAGTACAGAATAGAGGAAATCCCCAAAATAGTATTACCTGGGAGAGGCTCAGAGGACATGCAGGAAGGCTGTAAGAACATTATGCTGTAGAAAGAGTTGAGAAGTATAGAGGAGAAGGAATGTTTCGGAGGTTAGACATGATCTTTTACAGGAATCAAAGCTTTTCATTTCAAAAGTGACAAAATTTAAAGAAGTTAAGGAATAATCAGAGAAGAAACTATTGAAAAGGCTGCTAAAATAAAATCATAGACACCATTAAAGGAAATATTTCAAAAGGCATTTAGCAACATGAAAGAGAATCTGTAATGTATAAAGGTTGGGACGTGGTCACTGCCAGTGCTAACTTCTGAGAGTCTCTTCACTGGTGGGTCACCTGATGGTCAAAATCTGGAAAGTTTTGGGGATTCTCTAAAGTTTAGATAGGTTTTTCTTCATGACCTGACCTTCAGTGACAAAGTTGTAGTCTTTGCTATGGGTCAGTTTCTTCTCTGGTTTGTTCCAGGGCTCACTTTGTCCTGCCTGATTTGGAGGCGTGCACTGCGGTGTAACTGGAGCATGGACTTTGGCCACTGGTAGCTGCCCCTTTTCCAGCGACAGATGTACTACCTACACACAATGTATTCAAGTTAGTTAGCACTAGGCACAAAGATAACATATTTTGCAATATAGATTCTAGTCTAATCTGTTTGGATAACTACATTTCACAGTCACAAATTCTCTGTATCCATAACAAATCTCCATAAATTATTGTAAGTAGCTCATTATTTTGTTAAGATCTATAAAAGTGGCAACATCAACAATAACAGATAAATACAAATGCCACTGATTACTTACTTCACAGATGAGTCTTGCATCAAAGGAATTTGGAGGAAAAGACAGTTTGCAATATGCATAGGTAGCAATTTACTATTTCAGATAACTAATTTTTATGCAATTTTTGTGCACTATGCATTTCCATTCACAATGTGCTAAGGGCCAAATTTTGAAATTTGAAGCAGCTGCCTCATGCAATGAATAATGCCATTAGCTGAAATGGCAGCAATGTTGGAGTGAGGTGTTACTCAGCATGATTAAGTGTATTAGAAGGCGGTCCTAAGCAAGGAAGTGCACAGTGGAGAGCTCCTGTTGTCAGTTTTGTTTCCTGAACTTTTATTCATGATAAATTTATTTACCAGAGATGGGCGGAGATGATGAGCTTACCTGACCAGTGTTTCTCAGTGTTTCCACAGCTTGTCTATGAGTTGCACCTTCCAAACTAATCCCATTGACAGAGAGCACACGGTCACCTAGATGCAAACAATGCACAATTTAGAAGAAGGAAGAATGTGATAAAAATAATTCACATAGAACACTCTTATAATTCAAGTAACAGTGATCCATTCATTTTTCAATGAACAAGAGCAGTGACTCAGGCAATCCCCTGTCCATTGAGAGGAGAATCATGGTTTTTGTATTAGAAGTGTCTTGTAAAAGAATTCCAACCTCAAAGTCTAAAACCATTTTAATGCTCAAAGCAGTGCTTCACTGGGAAATCTGGGGAGAATTATTTTTTAAAAAAACCTTAATCTAAATGTGGGACTCTACCACTAAGAAGACTAACTTAAAGACATTCAGAACTATTACAAGGGTTTCTGTACTGAAATATTTAAGAGGTCAAGCGAGGAGGTCACTATTTACACAAAGCCTCTTTTTGCTCTTTTTGGGTGTAATCAAAGCAATTTGCTCCATTACAGCAGAATGCATTAGATTTTGTCATTTTTTCAGTCGTTTTTTTTTCTGGTGCAGCTTCAGCAGTTCTTGCAGATACTGCAATAGTCCCACACTTTGTCTTCAATGCTTATCTCCTCATTGCATACCACTGTCAAATTTATAAACTTAGAAAGTATTAACCCCTTAAATAATCACAGTGCTTTACAAAGCTAAACTAATTAAACACCCACATAAGGTAAAGACTAAGATAAAGGGGAGCTATAGAAAAACCTCAGAGAAGTACGTAGTTTCCCATTGACAATATACACCCATAAAGTGAGTACAAGCAAATAAGGGGAGGTATTTAGTATACCTCTAGAGTTCTCTGTGCCTAGATTATAATGCCTCTCCAAAGACTACATTAAATTATCTGGATTTCATTCTACTGCTATTTAAGAAAACTTGCGGAAACAGCAAAGTAAGTACCTTTCTGAATTCTACCATCAGCCTCAGCTGCTCCTTTAGGAATAATAGCCTTCACATAAATGCCACCATGTCTTACACTGGTGTTTACACCACCCTAAATGGAGAATGAATAGGTAAAATGCAAACTTTAAACAGAAGATCTTAGAATAATAAAGTTAATCAACCCTTAAGAACTTAGGAAGCACTCAACTCATCAGCATGTAAAAGCAGCAGCCAACTTGTAAATAATTTTGCATAAACAATATTTTGAGATGCATGCAAATCATAACCAGTTGGGGTGGGTGTGGCAGTTGGGGAGGTTCTAAAATGATTAGACTAAAATGCAAACCTTTCCAGCAAAAGAAATATCCCTCAAGCAGAACTGCATTCACGAGTGTGGAAAAGCTAAGTATTGTTTTTGCACAACATGCATCAACAGCCAAAATAAAAGTTGCAGACATGCAATATCCTAGTTTTGTCCCTCCCTTATTAAATTAATGGGAAACTAAAATGTATTCCTCTCTCTCAGGTTACAGAAAGCTGTCTGAAAGCAAAGTATATTGTGCTAGGAGGTAAAGATGTTAACCAGTGGTTAACTGACTTGACGAGTAGTCAATGTACATTTCAAAGGAGGAATGTGGAAGTGCCTATCGATAGTCGAGTAGTCGATGGAAATTCCAAGAGGCTCTGCGGGGGCTCTTGTACATTTCAAAGGAGGAATGCAGAACTCTGCATGTAGCCCAGGGTCAGAGGGAAGTCCCGTTGACTGGGGGCTGTATGAAGGTGCCAGATTTGAAATGCACAAGAGTCCCCAGTGGGGGCTCTTGTGCATTTCAAAGCAGCAGCACAGCATGGAGCCTGGGGTCAGCTGGCATTTCCATGGAACCCAGAATCAGCTGGGGAGTCCCCAGCTGACCCCAGGATCCACATGCAGTACCGCACAGCTGATTCCCGGCTCAGTTGTGCAGCACTGCCCCTTTGAAATGCCACCTCCGTGTTTCAAAGGGGCAGTGCCGCACAGCTGAGCCCGGACTCCAGCGAGACATTTACACGGAACCTTGGATCATCTGGGAACTCCCCAGCTGACCCTGGGCTCCATGCACTCAGTGCCACATACCTGATCCCGGGCTTGGCTGTGCAGAGCTGCCGCTTTCAAGTACTTCCTCTTTCCTGCCTCTATCTGATAGAAGCAGCAAGGGGGGTGGGAATCGACTAGTCGACTGACTATCTGATAAGCATTTGCTTATAGGATAGTTGACTAGTTTTTAACATCCTACTAGGAGGTGCCATAAAGATTTGGGTTGAAGGTCTGCTCAGGTTTCAAGTGAAGTTACTTCCAGGCACTCAACCTGTCATATAGTTCAATGATATTCCAGGGAATCCTACACACTTTCAAAGGAGGAGCAATAGCTAGCCTACGAATGTTCTCAATGTATGTCCTAGAGATCCAATTGTTTTAATATTATTATTGAGGTTAACAGTAGAAGAGTGAAAAATGACAGAGACAGAAAATGAGAAAGTGATACACAGCAACCCCTTTTTAGGTCTTACTGAGGAAAGTCCTTATATTGGTGACCATTGACAGCATCAACAGTGCCAATGGAATGGCAGGGTTGCTGCATGCCAATGGCTAAATCGTCATTATACTATTGCATAATTTACACCTCTATTCATCCATTATAGTGAAACTGGCTGCAAATCAGCTAGTGAAAACTACTATAATTTCTGTAGATTTAGAGAACTTTTTCATTTACAATTTATATTCAAGGTTTGTATATGTAACTGAGCCATAATCCAGGCTAGGGACCAAAGGATCTGTAGTACAGATCCGCCCCCGCATCCTGTATTCAGCCTTACAGTCCTTTACTTAATTTTCCTGCCAATTAGAAACCATTTGGTAATGTGTTCAACTGTTTAAGATGTTTAAGAAGAGTGCATTACCTATAGCTGCTGTTTATAGGTCTATAACACTCACTATCACAATTTCTGCTCCAAAAGCAGTAGAAACTGTTCCAGTGATGGCTAACAATGTGAATCAAAGATTGAATAAGGGATGTAATAAGGGAACAGCTTTATTCTGCTGTCCTCATCTTCAAAGTAACATGCATTAAAATCTGCTACACTTGAAAGAAGGCGTTTGAATCTACAATGTATTTAGAAAATGCCTACATCTAATCACAGAAAATGGCCTCTCTTTTGAACTCTGTCTAATACCTCCTCACTATTATCAGCATGCTACTACTGACATTCAAATTGTTTGCAGAATTCGGAGGTTAGGCTAATCACTGAAATTTATGTAGTCTAAGAATCAAAAAGATTTTCTGACACCTACAGAAAAACAAATGGGGATATAATGATATATTAGTCATTTTGCCTTTAAAGAGACCTTACCAAGCAGGCTAGTAATGAAATGTGAACCAATTTACTCAAGTTATTATCTGGTGTGACTTTTTAAATTAAAAATAAATATATATCTCCTTACCAGTGTTCCCTCTAAGCCGTGTGGCAGCCCCGCTTCACAGGTGATTGATCAGCCCCTCCCAGTCAGAGGCTCAGGGCTCCAGGCATGGAGCTGACTGAATGGGCAGGGCTGATTAATTACCTGTGAAGCTGTGCTGCCCCACAGCTTAGAGGGAACACTGCTCCTTACCAAGTTGCTAGAAGGATGAAAAAAATAACAACTAGCCACTCCTTACCTAGGCAGAAATGTTTGGTGCTCTTCTGATTCTCAGCCAGCGGGGGAAAACATAAGCGCTTAATAAGTGACAACACTTATTTTCAGAGAAACTAATGGCTCTGGCGAATAAGCCAGTAAAACAAAAATAAAGCTAGACCAAATATGGCCAAACTTAACTTTATTGGCTTCAATGGGTGTTACTCTAGGTACGAAATTTGCCCTTTAATTTCAAACGCCTAAAAGAAGCTACTTGACTTCATCCTCAAGGCCCTTCATTGTCCATTATCTCTCATTCAATATCATCTCTAATGAGCCCATTATTCCAGTTTCTACAGCCCACTTGTTAAACTTTCAAACAAGCATTTTTGTATCTTTTTCTATGCTGCCTCTCATACTTAAGAGGAGCTCCATATAAACATTCACAAAGCTATCTCCTCCTCCTCCTTACAACTCTCTTTTTTCATGACTGCTAAACTACCTGTCAATGGTTAGGCTGCTAGTGAACTCATATCACTTTCTATTATATGGATCAATACTAGCTCATTTTTCTTTTGCTACATTCTCCCATCTGCCTCTATACATCTATTGTGTTGTGTCTTACACATGGATTGTAAGCTTTTGGAGTCTTTTGGTTCTGTGTGCATATAGTACAAGCATAATGGGGCTCTTAGTCCACTAGAAGGACTACTAGGCAGGATGTTAGTCCAATTAATAGTAGTAATAATACATGGGAAACGACAAGAAAAGAGATATGGAAATAATTTGCATTTTCCAGCTTCAGGGAGATGAAAAGTATCTGTAGGAGGTACTGGACACCATTTAAAACACCAAGCTTCCCTGTAAATTAGCAATTTAACAGGTTTCTGGGAATGGAGAAGAAGAGAAAACATCTAAAAACCTTGTCAAACAGTACCGTGACACTTATTCCCAAGCCGCTATCTTTTTTGACTAGTTGGACCTCAAAGATATCTCCAGGTTTAAGAGGTGCTGTAGAAAGTTTTTTAGAATTCATTTTGTTTGCTGTATTCACTGAGGAAGACTCCTTTACACACATACATAAAAAAAAACAAAAAGAAATAATGATTCCTCATTAGAGCAGAAATTAATTATTAGTTTCAATTGTGTGTTTATGTGTGTGACAGAGCAGAAAGGGGTTAACTGGAAGTACTGATTAATAAAATAGGGCTCAATTTTTTCCTACTGTAAATGCATTTATTGTACTTTAATGTGCATAATACTAGGATGAATTTGGCCCATATTGGCTAACTGTTTTCATAGACCAGTATACTTGTATGCATTGGTCTTTTAAAATGAAAGAATCGTTGTACAATGAGGAAGATTGTCTGATGGAGCTGTAAGGTGATGTAGTTTCCCTAAGTTCAAAGGACATTTTCATTAACTGAGATCAAGGCCATTACATTTAGGAATGAATGTACAATGTCCCCAGTCAGTTTACTTTCAGACAGATAGAGCATCAGGTCTCCTCTGCTCACTGAATGAATGTAGAATTTACAAATACGTTTTATTTTTTTTTAAACCATAGCCAGAAGGACCCTTCTTCTGTTATGAGACTACCAGTTCATCACAGACAGTATCACTGCTTTCCCCTAATGCAGGTAAAAATCAATCTACCTAATCTATAAAGAGATCAATTTTAAACAGTGGTCTGTTTATTCAGTCCCTTATCTGCAATGCATTTGAAGCACAAAAGGGAATTAGCATTAGAAAATATGTACTTGAACATGAGTACCAAATGCATTAGCAGTTAGCAGTGGAAGCTGCAGGTTGTCCCTCCCTCCCTCTGCTTCCTTTCCCTCCAGCACATTAATAATCTATAGCAGGCTAGTCAGCCATGTATATGAAACTGTTTGAAAACATTCAACAGAAGTGGACTGTGCCTTTTTAGCTGCCTGTTGCTCCTGGCTGCTGGAATAAGTTGCTTCATCCATGTCAGAATCTCCTCGGTCAGAGTAATCCACAGTTTTCACCACCCCAGGCCTTTTTGCTTTTGTCTGGATACCATCTGCAGAGTTCCTTTTTTTCTCATTTGGTTTGGAAATGGTAGACTGAGAATCACTACAATGTTGCAGACCCAGATGGGCTTTGTCACCAATGTGGTTGCCAAAGAAGCCATTTGTTTGACTCTGAGACAAGTTGGCACTTTCAGTCCTGGAATCTTGGGAGTTCAGGCTTCTGTCCCATTTGCCCACAGACAATCCAGATGAACTTCCCGAGATGGGCCTCTGGTGATCTCGTGACCTGTTGTGTTCCTCTGAAGATGATTCTGCCTCATTGTCCTGCATTGATGAAGGTCTCCTTAAATAAGTCTTTGTTCCATTGGCAAAATGTATAGATGACACTAAAAATAAAAATCCAGCAATTAACCAGTAATATTTAGTCTGGTATAAATACAGAAATCATGATGACTCAGGTTAATTGTATGACAAGGAAAGGGTTAGCTCAGTGGTTTGAGTGTTGGCCTGCTAAACCGAGGGTTGTGAGTTCAGTCCTTCAGGGGGCCCTTTTTCTGGGGCAAATCTGTCAGGGATGCTATTTAGTCCTGCTGTGAGGGCAGGGGACTGGACTCAATAGTCTCTCAAGGTCCCTTCCAGCTCTATGAGATGGGTATAATATGAGCTAGGTGTCTACATAGGGCAATTAGATTGCAACATTCTGGTATGCTCTTTAATTCACACCATCTGCAGTATAGACAAGACTTTAGAAAAGCTAAATCAGACATTTGGTTCGTTGCTTCTTTGCAAGAGCAGAAGAAGTACATCTTGGGATGTATAATAAATGGTAAAGGAAAGAACAGAATTTGTAATATAAATGTAGGACTATTTTAAAATACCTTTGTCGAGTTTGTCCTTGGGCTGAGAGATAACAAGTGTCACATCTTCAGGAGCATTCTCCAGAATTTCTAATGCTGCATGATGACTGACACCTTCTAAGCTCATGCTATTCACAGATATTAGACGGTCTCCTGCACAAGAGGATTTGTTCAGATACAAACAATCCAGCATTTACATCTCCAGATTTTAATAAGGTTGTGAGGTATTATCTCCGTGCGAAACTCTATGCTCATTTTCAATATTAGCAGTTGACATTTGTCAAAATCTTTGGTCAACAAAATTAAAGAACATTGTCAAATTGAAACCCAGATAAGTTTAAAAAAATGTGTTTAAATTAGTTTCTGGTCCTAAAATTGTGTGTGTCTTCCTGACAATTTTGGTTGGATTACAATTACATTGTTCTCTATTTTATAAACTTTCCTACATTCTTTACTGCTATGTGAAAAAACACAAAGGGCATGTCTACAATGCAGGGCAAAAGTCAAATTAAGATATGTAACATCAGTTACGTCAATTGCATAGCTGAAGTTGAAATAGCTTAATTCAGTTTTGCGTGCTGTCTACACAGCAGGAAGTCGAAGGAAGAATACTCTTTCTTTGAATTCCCTTACTCCTCGTGAAATGAAGGTTACAAGAGTCAGAGCAAGAAGTTCTCCAGCTTGAAATTATTTTAAAATAACATCTTGCTGGGTGAGTGCAAGCTTTGTTATTTTGAAATACCGTTAGTTATTTAAAAATAATGCTGATCTGTAGATGTACCCAAAGGGTGAAACTGAGTATTGTGAAACGATGAAACTTGCTACCATCAGTGCAGTCAAGCGCACTAAGTAAATACACTGAAAACATTGAGATCAGGTAAACACAATTTTAGGAATTACTTGTCACAAAAATAAGTCACTTTTTTCAGCTAGAATCTGATTTTGCATTGTTTAATAGAAATATAATAGCTATCAAACAGTGAAGTTAAACAATTTATTTATATAAATTGTAATAATTTTCATGCTACTTAGGACTTCTACAGAGCCTTTCATTTTCATACTCAGGCCCATATGCAGGAATTTCTGTGTGCGTGTGCACACACTTTTTTTGTGGACTGCAATTATTTTAAATATAAAGGAGTTCAAAATAGCCATGCAATGAGTGTGCATAAGCAAGGTTAATGAAAAATTTGAGTGGAAACAGTGATTGGTAAAATGATTTTGTTATAACATACTAAAAGTGTATAAAGTAATAAAGGTTTTATGGAAATAACCTTCTGGGATCTTGCTTTAATATTGTAAGTGAAAATCAATATTCCAAAATGTTCCAGTCTTAGTCTTCAGAGTTTTCAGTTAAGACTATATATAGGCTAGTCGTAGTGAAATAGATTTAGGTAACAGCAAACTTTTCTTCATGACAGTAAGTTCACAGCAGTGTCTAAGACATGTTCATACTTAGTTTCCATTTTTAAAGACAGTTTGAAGTCCAGTTTCCTAGGGAACTTCCAGGCAAATATATCCACCACTTCATCCAAGTCCACTTGGGCTGAACAGTGGATGCATGTGTGTATGAAACTGTAATACTTTCAGATGAATTGGGGAGGGAGGCTCAGGCAGCATGTCACTCCTGCCTTCTCCTGGCTGCTCATGCTTATTTAGGGGACTATGAGGGCAGTGTGTGTGTGTGTGTGTGAGTACCTTTTGCACCACCTTTGCTATGAGCCTGATACTTTGTAACAAATAATAATTAGTCATTAATACTTGTCAAGTAACTATCAATATGTATGGTCAATGGAGAAACAGAGACATAGACATTTAAGTTACAACCTTCCACAGACAGAGATGTAGTCAATATTAGAAACAAGACTAGAATGAAGGTGTTTCTGGCCCCCCATCCTGTGTCTGGAGTACATCTTTCTCTAAGCACATAATTTACCTGGTTTTAAGGACCCATCCAAGTCAGCTGGTCCTCCAGGAACTACTGAGTGAATAAAAATTCCCAGATCAAGTTTTCCAGTCTTCTCTCCACCAACAATCTGAAATCCTATTTAAAACAGACAAACATACATTCAACAATTAATTCATTATTTAAAAGTTTGTATTTTGCCACTTGATAGAAAAAAATTACTATTCTAGCAGTATATGTAACACATAAATCCATGTAAAAGAGACCTTCAAAAGGAAAAGATTGCTGTCCTCCCCATTTTTTTTCATTTTTATGATACATGAAGAAGTCTTAAAGGGTTTAATTCAATAATATTTTCTTTTCTGCTTGATTTTTACCTAGAAATTCAGATCTTGCCTAAGTAGGTTTCATAAAAGACTATAGATGACTGGAAAACCTGGAGGACTGTATATCAGAGATCTGAAGGAAGTCTAATTAAATGAGCAAGTTAGAAATATTTTTATCTATTTAACATGTTTGGGTTTGGTTATTTTATTAATGTTCATTTAACTCAAATATGTGAGTAACACTTCGAGGAAATCTCTTTGTTAAAAATGTAACACTATCCTTTCAGTTAGGCTGATGATCCACACATGGGAACTGCAAAAATTCTCTTCACATAGGCCTGGGAAGGAGCAAACTTGATTTTCTTCTTTATTTTTCAAGGCCCCCAAGTCTCTCTCTCACACACACTTACTTCTTCCACCTTTTAAGGTTGTCCTTAAGAGAGTTGTTGCAATATGAGAGTTTAAGGTTCACATACAAATAACGTTTCTTAGAATTTTCCCCATTTGGAATTACACAGTGGTGATACACTGAACTACAGAGTAACTTTTAAAAGGACATCGCAAAGATGGGACATGTATAAAAATTACTCTAACGTTTCATATGGGAATAATTTACCCAAGATCACATGTCAGTCACTAGCAGAACAGGGACTATAATCCAGTTCTTTTGTCTTCCACTACTCTGCTTTAAACTAAGAATTAATCTCTATTGAAATTAGGTGAAATAATATAGCAAAGGAAAGCAGTGAATATCTGTCTATCCATCTATCTGTCCATCCATCCATCTTCTAGAGAGTTTGTGAATCTGTATGAGAGTCCATCTGTCTATTTGCGAGTTGGTTTATTCAAGAACTCCTCTTAAAAGGTAAGAGCTAGGACCACCAAATTTGGCAGGCAGCTTCCTCTTATCCTAACTTAAACCAAGATCAGGTTTGGTTGTGCCAAGAAAATGGGAAGTGCTTGGAATGGGAATGTTTTCCAGAACATAGAAAGGGAGGGGGCAGAAAGGAGGAACGCGATACTGCAGAGTGGCCACTGGGGACGGCAAGCATGGGCAAGAACTATATTGCAGAGTGACCACTGGGGGCATCCACACCAGCATCAGATTGCCCAGCCGCAGACAGCGCTCCACGTAGCTGTCCACTGGACTGCTTAAGAGGCCCTCCTGACCGAAACAGTGCTGGATGGGGGTGGGGAGCACCCATCTTGGAATCCCTAGGATCACCCTAGAGGTTGGGAAGTACAGCTCATCCTCGCCCCCAGGAAATGCCCTCCCTCTGATGACAGGATGCAGGGCTGGAGGGGTGGTGGCAGGGGACAGCTCCTGAAGCCTCATCCTCCTGACCAGTAGAAGGCTGGAGGGAAGGCGGGTATTTCTGCTGGAGGCCATAGTCCCCACTCTTTGCCCTGCCCCCAGACAGGCTGCAGGGGGAGGGGTGGCGTCCACTCCTCCCACCTGGACAGGTGGCAGGGCCAGGGGGCCCACTGGAGACCTGACCTGGCCCCCAAAGCTTTGCCTCCTTGACCAGCTGTAAGCCAGGGCCACGTCTGGAGTGCTGCCCTACCCCACTGGCCACGTTGCAGAATGGGACGGGGAGGGAAGCTGGGGCCAGCCCCTGGAGCCCCACTCCCTGGACAGACTGGAGGGGGCAGCTGGAGTCTAGGGATGGCCTGAAGAGCCCTGTCCCCCCAGACAAGCTGGAAGCCTGGGCCAGCTTGTGCAGCCCTGCCCCCCCCCCCCCCCCCCAAGAAGAGCCAGCAACTGGAGAGTGCAATTCTGGTCCCCTGGGAGGAGCTTCTGCTACAGCAGCACCATCCTTGCCACTTCAGTAAGCCTCCCCTAACCTCCAAGCCCCATGCTCTGGGCTCCCTGCCCTGAGTCCTGCACCTCCAATGTCCTGTCCTCATTGCTGCACCCCTATATCCCTCTTCCTACCTTGAGTCTCCCCACCAAAACCTTTGTTCTGAACTCCAACACTCCCCAGCCCCCGTCTGGAGCCCCCCAACCTTCACCCCACCCCTTACCCTGACTCCAGTGCCCCCCAAGTCCATACACCTGCCCCCATTTCTACACCCCATCCCCTGCCCTGACCTCCCACCCCAAACCCTGTGCCCTCAGCCCCCACCCCCTACCCTCCCTTCAGCACCTTTCGCTGCCTGCCCTGAGTCCCCCCAACCCTCTGCCCTCACTCCTGCACTCCTTTTTATTGTAGCAAAACACCAAAAACCTTCAAATGTTGTCTACCAATAAGCTCTATCTAATGTTTGAATCACTTTCCTTTTTTTATGAATACAAACTTTTTCCCTTCTTTTTTGAAAAAGTCTATGATCTATGTTTTTTAAAAAAACTCTTACAGTTGCCCATGTTACCCAAATACACACACAAACCTGCCAGCCCCATTTTAGAACCATATTTACTTACATCATTTGGAATGACATTGAGATTATTTTAGCAGGTTACAAAACTAACGATGAAATTTAACTAGTACAGAGATTTTCAAAGTCCTTTCAATTGGCCAAAGCTGACATCCTCAAACATGTTTGTTCTCTCTCTCTCTTTTCTCTGTCCCTCTCTCACACACACGTGCGCACATGCACACACACATTTCAGTTTTGTCTTTCACAGTGCTACAGGCCTTTAGTAACTTACCTAAGCTATGTTTTTCATCTTTCTTCAAATTCACCAAGACAATCTCTCTTTCTGGTGAGGACACTATGGGCTGCGTTGTTTGTAGAGTATCTACTGAAAAGTCATAATTTGATAATAAAACTTATTGATTGGACATCTTCAAAGTAATGTGCCTTTTATGTTCATTTTTATACCACTCAATTTTACAGGACTTGTCTTATAAGACAAAAGGACACTTCTGAATTTGATAGGCCCATATATGGACCAGCCCGCACCCCAGGGCAGATGAATTTAGTAACTTCTCAAGGTCCCTTTTAGCCCTACATTTTTATGATTCTATTACCTACTTCTCTCCCTCACCACTTTACAGCTGAATTATAATTCCATTCAATTATCTCTTTTTTAAAACCAAATAAAATGACTCTTTTTCCTTCCTCCAGGTAAAAACTTTCCTTAGATATAAAATTTAGGCCACAATTTGACAAGTTCTCTGATTTTACAACATATTGGCCCCATTCAGCAAAGCACTAAATCATGTGGTTGTGTATTTCATTTAATAAGGAAAGACTTAAGCACATGCATGACATTAAGCCTAGGTTAAGTGCTTTGCAGAATCAGAGTTACTGAATTCAGTGGGGGATGTATGTGGCACAAGTTTGTAGGAAGAGGTTCTAAGCTTCTTAACTCTAACACACAGACATACAAATCTCTTTCTTTGCATTTGCTGTCATTTGATAAGTTTTACTGCTTATACTTACAAGCTTTGAATACCCTTAGGCTACGTCTACATTGGCAAGATTTTGCGCAAATACTTTTAACGCAAGAGTTTTTGCGTTAAAGTATTTGCGCAAGAGAGCGTCTACACTGGCATGTGCTTTTGCGCAAAAGCATCCATGCCTGTGTAGACGCTCTCTTGTGCAAGAAAGCTCCAATCGCCATTTTAGCCATCGGGCTTTCTTGCGCAAGAAATTTAGGTTGCCTGTCTACACCGGCCTCTTGAACAAGAACAGTTGCGCAAGAGGGCTTTTTCCTGAGCGGGAGCATCACAGTTCTTGTGCAAGAAGCACTGATTTCACACATTAGAACGTCAGTGTTCTTGCGCAAGAACTCCCCGCCAGTGTAGACAGGTAGCATGTTTTTGTGCAAAATCATGCCAATGTAGACACAGCCTTAGAGTTTATCAAAGTGATTCTTAAAGGTACCGGGGTCAAGCTGAAACAGGCCCCAACATTTAGATTCTGAAATATATTTTTTTGAGACAAAACAATCCTATTCTAGTACAGGTGGTAGGTTGGAAAGGACCTATATATACTACCATGAAGGTGCAATTCCAGGGGGCTCCATAGCTAACCCTATGCATATCGCTAGGGGAAAAACCTTCTGACCACTGTGCATGTGGTGTGTGTGCACCTAGTTGGAATCAACATGTACAAGCAGTTGAAGTATAATACATTTTCTATGGAGTATAATACCACAAAACTGCTGTACCACAGAGAGCAGCAGAAGAGTGCCAAAAAGCTCCATAAGCAACGAGAAGTACTGTGGCACCTTAGGGTATGTCTACACTAGCTCGGTAGTTCGAGCTAGGTAGGCAAATGAGGGCAACTGGAGTTGCAAATGAAGCCCGGGATTTAAATATCCCAGGTTTCATTTGCATCTGTACTGGCTCCCACAGAGCCAGCTGCTCGCTACGGTGGGGGAACAAGTGAGAGCTGGGGGCACATATACAAATATTGTATAGTCCTATTAACTTGAGTAGTTTTCTACACAATGAAAATTGTGTGCTATGCATGATTTTGACAACACAGGGATCAAAAGCAATATGTTAACAGGAGATAGAAAAGTTAGAATTAAAACTTTCAGATTTTTAAGTAGAAGTGGTCATGGAGTTTTTTGAATCAGAGGGGTAGCCGTGTAGTCTGAATCTGCATTAACAAAGAGGAGTCCTGTGGCACTTTAGCAGATTTATTGGAGCATAAGCTTTCGTGGACAAAGACCCACTTCATCACATGCATTCATCTTTTCCCACGAAAGCTTATGCTCCAATAAATCTGCTAAAGTGCCACAGGACTCCTCTTTGTTAATGCAGATTCAGACTACACGGCTACCCCTCTGATTCAAAAAACTCCATGACCACTTCTACTTAAAAATCTGAAAGTTTTAATTCTAACTTTTCTATCTCCTGTTAACATATTGCTTTTGATCCCTGTGTTGTCAAAATCATGCATAGCACACAATTTTCATTGTGTAGAAAACTACTCAAGTTAATAGGACTATACAATATTTGTATATGTGCCCCCAGCTCTCACTTGATCCCCCACCCCTGCTGCTGCCTCTGGCAGCAGTGTAGGGAGCAGCTGGCTCTGTGGGAGCCAGTAAGCTCTCACTTGTTCCCCCACCGTAGCGAGCAGCTGGCTCTGTGGGAGCCAGTACAGGCAGACAGAAAGCTTGAAAGTTGGCTTATTGCATGTACCGGCTCCTGCCTGTGCCTAGGCTTATTGGTTAACCATGTAAATGGGTACATGCTAACATCCCTAACCTATGTGCACCCAGGTTTGTTACTTTTATGAGAAGGATATTTTTGGTTTGTTAAAATATTTTGATTTTAAAACAAAAAACAATCAAAAATATGTAAACGCAACACAAGGCAGTGGCAAACAATTTCTAAGCAGAACACTAAAGCAACCTGCTCGTCTGTATATTATAACCTTATATCAGAGAAAACTCTAGAGATTAGTTGGTAAACAAAATAATAAAATTTTTTCCATGCTGACCTACAACATAAGCTTGACCATTATCTTCAATGGATGACGAGTCTGATTCATTTTTCTTTCTTTCAAGGCTTCTGCTTAAACCTGAAAAAGATTTTGAACTAAACAGGATGGGGAGAGAAAAGGAAGGTGAGAGGAAGAGTCAATGTAAAAAAATAATAGGCTAAATAATAAGCGTGGTAGAAATAAAAACTGATCTAAAAATGCAAATGCACTGCATAAAAAAATCAAAAGCTTTGGAAAGAGAGTGACTCTTACTTGTTCAGTTTCATTGCTCCAGCTACTGACCCAGAATCAGATTTTGGCCTCTGCTGAAAGAGTCTTCCTATTAGTTCCTCCATTTTCTGAGAAGAATCTACAGCGCTAATAACATTTTTCTGCTGAGGGGAAATAGAGACTTGGCTCTGACTCAGATCATGAAACGATTTGCTCATGGCCCTGGGTCTTTCCTCCCATGAAGCTTTCTCATTCTTCTCTTTGGAGAAGCCAGGAAGTGGCTGAAAAAGTGACAGCTCAGAACAAGAGAGTCTCTTCAGAATTTCAGCTTCAATTGACAAAGGTCGGATGGCAAGCTTGTTCAACGTGCTGCTGGCCAGACTGCCCGTACTGATTGCACGTCCCATGTTAAATCCTTTAACAGACTCAGTGTGAAGGTTCAGACTCCTAAATGAAGCTCTCTCTGCAAGGAAAAAGGACTGATTTGCACACATTATAGTCCCGCAGTACACTTTTCCTTTTAATTTGACATTTTAATATGATATTTTTTAAACATATGGGTAATTTTTAACCTTAGCTTATGAGAGTAAACTTACTATATGACTAAGAGGGCTTGGAATATCTAGCTCAGGGAGAAAGACTTGGATTTAATACTAGCATGCTGACATTAGCTTAGTCTATACTGTAGTCAATTCCACAGCATAAAACCACACAATAGTTCTCCTGAATTTCTTTATTAGACTGAAATCTGCACTGCCACCACAGAGCTTTAACACAGCATTGGGTGAAATGACCCCAAAGGCCTACATAAGTATCCATAAGTTTAAATGCTTATTCAAAACTCTATTAAACACTTTGGCTGTGTCTACATTGGCACCCCTTTCCGGAAAAGGGATGCTAATGTAGACTTTGGACTAGGCAAATCCGCGGGGGATTTAAATATCCCCCCGCGGCATTTGCATTAACATGGCTGCCGCTTTTTTCCGGCTTGGGGAAAAGCCGGAGAAAAGCGCCAGTCTAGACGTGATTCTCCGGAAAATAAAGCCTTTTCCGGAGGATTTCTTATTCCTACTTTCAAGAAATCCTCCAGAAAAGGCTTTATTTTCCGGAGAATCACGTCTAGACTGGCGCTTTTCTCCGGCTTTTCCCCAAGCCGGAAAAAAGCGGCAGCCATGTTAATGCAAATGCTGCGGGGGATATTTAAATCCCCCGCGGATTTGCCTAGTCCAAAGTCTACATTAGCATCCCTTTTCCGGAAAGGGGTGCCAATGTAGACACAGCCTTTTGGGTTTCTTTCATCTTGAAAAATTTCCAATAAAACTTCCAGTCATCTTCCCCATCATCAGCCTTCTCACCATCCCTCACCTTTGTCCTAACAAATCCTCACTCTTTGCCAACAACTGGCTGTGGCACTTTCCCTCCCCTTCCCTCTTTGCCTCCCTCCCACAATGATTCAGGTAATCCCTGGCTCCTACAATTTTCCAATAACCAGGTGCACTACCACTGAAGTTCCTGTTGCTGGGTACAGCAGGCTTGGCTGTCTCTCTTCTGGATGTGTGCCATTGCAATCAGGTTTCTCATTCTTTGGGATATCCCCAGTCAGAGAATCCCCAAAGTGTTTTGGCACAGAATAGAAAACAAGTGTTGTTTGGAGCCCAGCAGTGCTCTGCAGATATGCTGACTCCTATAACAGGATTCTTTCAGTAAGGGGGGAAACACTGGGGTCTGGAAGCCAGGCAGAAAGAGAAGAGTTAAATAAAGTCAGCTTGTCAGAACCCATTATAGACCAGGAAGCTCTGGATTCCATTGAGAAGAAAGATTCACCCATCTGTAATTTACATGATACTACAGTTCGCAGACAGGAAATAAGGTGTTTAAGATCAGAGAGAAACTTAACTTATACTAGTCCAACTCCATATGATTTGATAGGAAAACTTGTTTCTCAATGGTATAGTACATTCACTAAATATTACTATTAAATACCATGGTCACCATTTAAAATCTGTTTGGTAAGTTACTACACAACAGTGGTATCTGAGATGCCACAGATTCACAGACCATGAAGCAGCTGTGGAAATAGATTAGCATTCTCTATTCAAAGTTTATAGACATAAAAGATTTATTTATCCAAGGCACAACTGGCACGTTTTTAAAGAGAACCACTGTGCACATTTGTTTGTTTTTCTTAAATGATTAGGTACCTGCTGCTCCAAGATCTCAGCTAGTGTTTATATCACATTTTTGTGGATTTCCTTGAATAACTATTTAAATAGCTACAAACTTCAAATCATGTCCTCTCGCTCTGCCAGCCCCCTATAGGACTTTCCAAAATTCCTGCTAAGATTCTTAAATGCTTACATACACTCAAATCAAGTCTTCGGTCTCTCTTTTCCCCAGGCTAAATATACTCAAGTCCTTGAGGTCTTTCCTCGTAAGACTGACTTAATCCTTAAATAATCGTGCGGTCTTTCTATGCACTTATTCAAGAATTTGAATCTCCAATTTCTAATCTTTAAACATGTGCCCAGTACTGTATTCAATATTCAAGTGTATTCTTACAAAGGTTACATAAAAGAAACCATTATGTCTTGATTTATAAATAATCTCTTTTCTTATGCATTATAAGGCCTTGTTATCTGGCTTTCTATTTCTGGCAGTCATCACACATGGAACTCCTTTATTTGAGCTATCGTTTTCCTCTACTTACATAGCAAGAATGCTGTTCAAGGTGTTTTGTGTACTCTAAAAGCACTATCTTGCACTTACATTAAAATCACATGCACTCTGTAGTATTCTGCTTACCTCCTGAACTAGCTGAAATCCTCCTCAAGACAGTAACTGATACAGTGTGCTACACACCCTCATTTGCGTGTCACTTCTCAAATCTATCAGTAAATCATCTCTTTCAATAGCAAACAGCCGTTTCTGGTTACAGCAGTAAGCTTTGAAGAAACCCACTGGCATCCATTGTGAAACTGAAGAAAAGCATGTTTTCCTTGCTACATTAGCTTCTTTTTTGAACAAATGGAATTCTCTTAGGGTACATCTACACTGCACGGCTATTTTCGGATACCTCCGATATAGCTACCCCATGTCTACACAAGCTGCCCGTTATTTTGAAATATTTTTCAAAATAACAGGCATGCTATTTTCGGCATCCCGGTAACCCTCATTCCACGAGGGTTCAGGGATAACTTGAAATAGCGCATTATTTCAAAATTTGGCACTGTGTAGATACGCGAAATTTTAAAATAAGCTACTTCGAAATAAGTTTGAAATAAGTATGCAAGTTGCATAGCACAAATTACATATCTTATTTAGGATGCTGTGTAAACGCACGCTTAGATACTTATTTTACTTCTTTCTGGGTATATCTACATTGCATTCCTCCTTCAAGAGAGGAATGCAAATGCAGACAAACGAAATTGCAAATGAAGCGCAGATTTGAATTTCCCACGCTTCATTTGCATAATGGCATCCGGCCGCTTTTCCGAAATACCGTATTTCGAGAAAAAAAGCGGTTATTTCAAAAAGAAACCCTTCCTTCGAAATAATCCTTACCCCTTTAAAAATGAGGTTTAAGAGTTATTTCGAAGGAAGGGGTTCTTTTCTAAATAACCACGTGTGGACTGTGTTTTTTTTCTCGAAATACGGTATTTCGGAAAAGCGGCCGGATGCCATTATGCAAATGAAGCATGGGAAATTCTAATCTGTGCTTCATTTGCAATTTAATTTGTCTGCATTTGCGTTCCTCTCTCGAAGGAGGAATGCAATATAGACATACCCTCTGAGAAATGACGGGTGAAGTCGCAGGCCTTTGAATTCACAGAAGGCTCTTGTGCACACAAGCAAAATAAATCTATTAGTCTCCAGACTCCCACAGCAAGAGATCAGAATTTATACAGCAATGGGACCAGATTCTGTTCTCAGACTGCTGTAAAGCTGGAGTAGAGCAATTGGCTGTATAAAGGAGATGTCTCTGCAGACTGAAAAATAAAGTAAGAAAAAACAAAACCATCTCTGGAAAGCCAGTGGACCAACCAGATGTGTTCCAGTTAAAAGTCAAATAAATACTGCTTATCTATTTCAATGACAAGAGCATTGTTTAATCCCCCTCCCTTCCCTGCCAATTTAAGATACTAATCTACAAAGGAATCATTTTCTTGTGTCTTAGCCACTCACTTTAAGATTAATGGGAAACTACTTTCTGAAGAAACCAACTCACATAGTACTTTTTTTGATAATGGACTAAATGTTTTAATTAGCATATAAATTGGACACTCCACAGCTTAAGACATATGGTGTTATGGATTCCTTCCTCTCCCATTTGCATTCATGTGGATCACCTCTCCTATCTACAAGCACACATCACCCTTGCAGTAACTACTGAAATTGTTCCAATTAAAAAGCAGTAATAGGAAAGTATTTTTAGCGTTCTGTTACACAAATGTAGTGGCTGAAGTAAGAGTTGACCAGCCAACTCTCTTTGGACCACAGCTTAAAAACTGCTGACCTACTACACTTTCTTTAGAATATAGAAATACACGTATGGGGTTCAGTGGAATCACTACAGTATTGGAACTATTATTTTCATACAAATATACACAGCCATCATTCTAAAAACAGGAAAGTCACAATCCTTACCAATGTCCTGAGTGTCTTGATTGCTCTGTCTGGCTCTCATCTGGAGCTGGAATTTATGCTGAGAAGAGCAGAGGTGCAGAAGGTATTGGCAAGTTTTACTAGTGTCAGTTTGGAATGCATGCTTTATACCATCGGATATGTTCTGCAGGGTTATCTTCTTTTTCTATTAGATGAAAAATAGGTTATGAAGGCATTTCTATTTTTCAGCCTTGAGAGAATATAATGTGTTTTTTTACAAACAGGTGTCAGGAAATAAGGTTTATTAAAGCAAATTGCATTAACCAGATGAATTTTTAACATAAATTGTATACATTTAAAGAAACTGTTACTTATCTTTTGTAACTCTTGTTTTTTGCAATGTGTTTCTCATCTCCATTTCAATGTCTCTCTCTGTGTGTGTGTGTGTTTGTGTGTGTGTGTACACACATGTGCAAGATCATCGGAAAGTTTTTACCTTAGCATTATCTGTAGGGTCAGCTGTGGAGCCCCGTGGCATGGGGACATTAAGCAAGTGCATATAAGACCCTGTCAACCTCCCGCCTTCTCAGTTGCTTTTTGCTGGAACCTTCTGACAGAGGAGATGTGGGTGGAATTTGGAATGGACATGAGCAACATATCTTGAATAAAAAACAGTTACAAAAAGTAAGTAACTTTCTTCTTTAGGTGATTGCTCATGTGCATTCCAACAGGTGACTTACCAGCTGTTCCCTTGGAGGAGGGATTGGAAGTCATCTTGTGGCAAAAGTGAGGACCGCCCTGTTGAATGCTATGTCATCTCATGTATGCTGCACAATGGCATAGTGAGATGTGAAGGTGTGCACGGACAACTATGTTACCACTCGGTATATGTGTCCACTCTGGAGGAATGCTGCTTAGGAAGTCTGGGCTTTAGTAGAGAGAGCAGTCAGCAGAGCAGGCGGCATCTTCACTAAGTCATAACATGTTCTGATACAGGATGTGATCCAATTGGAAAGTCACTGAGAGGAGATAGGGAGACCTTTCATTCTCTCTGACAGTGCAATAAAGAGTTTGTGGTTACTTTCTAAATGGCTTTGTCTGTTCTGTATGAAACACGAGGGTGCACCAAATGTCCAGAGAGTACAACACATACTTTCTAGCACTGATATGAGGCTTTGGGTAGAAGATAGCAGGAAGATAGTCTAGTTGACGTGAAAATTAGAGGCCACCTTAGACATAAAGGCTGGGTGCGACCATAAATGTACTTTGGCCTTATAAAATGCAATGTAAGGGCCCTCTGAGGTGAGAGCCCTGAAATCTGAGACCCTCCTGGCAGAGGTTATAGCTACCAGGAAGGCTGCCTTTCATGACAAGTATGACAAAGGACAGGTGGCCAGAGGATCAAAAAGAGGATCCATCAGTTTTGTGAGCACAAGGTTCAAGTCCAACTGGGGGAATTGCTGCCTGACCTGAGGGTATAGCCTGTTTAGCCCCTTTAGAAAATGGGTTACCACTGTGGTCTGTCAACACATATCTACCATGACTCCCTTTGTAAAATGAGTGGAAACCCTTAGGGTATGTCTACACTAGCCCCCTAGTTCGAATTAGGGTGGCTAATGTAGGCGTTCAAACTTGCAAATGAAGCCCGGGATTTAAATATCACCTAATTGCAGGAGGAGTAACAGTTAATCCGAACGAAGGACTTAGTGCGGGTTAACTTCTGACTGCCGTGTGTAGCCGCAGGCAGTCAGTTCGAACTAAGGGGATTTAAAAATGGCACCTGCCTGGGAACATGCAAATGAAGCCCGGGATATTTAAATCCCGGGCTTCATTTGCAAGTTTGAATGCCTACATTAGCCACCTTAGTTTGAACTAGGGGGCTACTGTAGAGATACCCTTATAGAAGACAGTGCCAGCCCTTGCTACTTTAACTGCAGAAGGTAGCCTAGGACTATGGATATGGAGGACCCTTGGGGGCTAGAGGCCCTTGTGACGAGGAGAGAAAAGAGAACAGTTTTCATTTGGATTGGTACAAAGTATAGTAGGTGGCTTTCTGCTTCCCATGAGGACCCTATGGACTGGACTGAAGCAGCCCAGCTCAGTGGGGTTCAACCATGGAGCATTCATGATTTGAGGTGGAAGGACTCCAGGTTGGGGTGATGGAGCCTGCCATACTCCTGAGTGATGAGGTTCCCGCAGAGAGGAAGGGTTACAGGAATGGCTATGGAGAGGCTCATCAACAGGGCAAACCAATGGTGTCTGGGCCACACCTATGCTATCAGGATGACTGAGGCCCTGTCCATTTTGTTTTTGAGGAGGACTCTGAATCAGAAGGAACAGTGAGAAGGCGTAAAGTGTGGTGTCCATAGGGAGGTGAAATGCATCTGACAGTGAGCTGGGACTGCTGCCTAGGAAGAAGCACTTGCGGCTGACCTTCATTGGGCACCTGCGATTGACCCTCATCGTGAAAAGGTCTACTAGGGGAAATTACCACTTCTGGAAAGATGGGTAACAGAATGTCTGCCCCAAGAGAGCATTTGTGTTTGGAGAATGATCTACTGAGTTAGTCTGCCAGCCCATTGAGTATCCATGGGAGGAATGAGGTTTGCGGTATTATAGCATTGGGGATTCAAAATTCTAATAGCATCAGGGCTTCCTGGCACAGGTAAGAGGAGTGAGCACCATCCTGCTTGTTCACACAGAACATTGGAATGGTGTTGATCATGAACAATTCCATGCATATGCTCCTCAAATGCTCTTTACGATCTGGCAAGCAAGGTGAAAGGCCCATTGTTCCCTCACATTTATGTGCAGGTACAGCTTGTCCTGGGACCAAATACCTTGAGTCTGTAGTTGTAGCAGAAGAGTCCATCATCAACTGTGAGGGGCTCAGTTTGTAAACGGGAACTTCTGCACAAACTACATGGCACTGTAGCCACCTGCGGAGTGTTTGAAGAATATGGGATGGCAGGCTTACTGTACTGACCAATGGGTCTTTGTATGGTTTGTAAACCCATGAAAATCAGTCTTGTAGGGGCATGAGGCAAATATAGAGATGCTGTTGTGTGCCCTAAACAGCCTCAGGCACGTTCTGGCCATGGCTGTGGGAAGCTGAGGTTCTGGATGAGTAGGCTGAGGGGCTGCAAGTGCATGACACTCTGTCAGTGTTTCAAAAGGCTCCTATGAACTCTGTATGTTGGGTTGGAATTAGAGTGGATTTGGAAGTGTTCATGATAAGGCCCAGCCTCCAGCTAAAGCCACATGTTCTGTTACCGGAGTGTGTGAGTCAGTCTTGATGAACTAATCATCCAGGTAAAGGAAAATATGAACGTGGCACTTGTGCGGGAATGCAGGTACAACCAACATGCATTTTGTAAAGACTCTTGGGGAAGTCAAGAGGCTTAAGGGCAACACCTGGAATTGATAATGCTGGTCTTGGACCACAAAGCACAGGAACTGTTTATGGGAAGGGATAACTGAGATATGGAAATATGTGTCCTTCATGTTGAGAGCAACATACTAGTCCCCCGGATCTAGGCAGGATAACGGTGACCAGAGACACCATATAAAAGCATATTTTCTTGATAAATGCAGTGAGGTTCCTCAAGTAATAGTTCCTCAGTAGTGACAGATGGCAGAACAAGGAGCAATGGTCTCAAGTTACAGTGGGGGAGGTGAAAAACTATTTCACTAGGAGGGTGGTGAAGCACTGGAACGGGTTACCTAGGGAGGAGGTGGAATCTCCCTAGGGAGGAGGTGGAATCTCCATCCCTAGAGGTTTTTAAGTCTCGGCTTAACAAAGCCCTGGCTGGGATGATTTAGTTTGGGTTGTTCCTGCTTTGGGCAGGGGGCTGGACTTGATGACCTCCTGAGGTCTCTTCCAGCCCTATGATTCTATGATTCTAAGTCTAGTATGGGCCTGAGGCCTCCTTTTACTTGTGTATAAGGAAGAATCTGGGGTAGAAACTCCTTGCCCCTGAACTCCCAAGGAACCTCCTCTATCACCACAAAGGCTAGGAGTACTCGGTGACAGGCCAAGGGGTGCTGACCCGAAAGGTGCTGGGGAAATGCCAAGTCCTTTGGAATTGTGGTAATTTTCCCTGGTGCTTTCTAGGCCATGCCGCTGTCAATGCTGCCATGAGAGGTTCTGCCATCATTGGTGTTGCTGTCAGCATTGCCACGCTCCATGGTGCTGCAGTCATTGGTGCCAAAACTAACAGCGTCACAAGCACCGAAGCTGCAGTTAGTGGTGCCGCGGTGGTCATCGAGGTTACTAGTGGTGCCAATGATGAGGGTGTCTCCAATGATGGAGCCAACCATGGTGCCCTTATTTGCAAAGCATGCGGCATCTGAGCTGGTGCCATTTCTGACTGGCATGAGACTGCCCTTGCTGCAGGCTGTGATGTCAATTGGGTTGTCATGATGATAAGCTCTCTGGTGACCGTGACAGTGTCTGGCATTGATGCTAGATCAATGTCCTCCTCTAGGTGGTCTCCACCCAAGAAGATTAGGACCGCTGGGCTCAACAGTTGGGCCAGAGTCAACAGTGTCATGAGTAGTGGTACTGCATGTGGGTGCCCCTGAGCTGGGCTTGCCCCACTTGGTACTTTGTGCAGTGCCTTAACTGGCCTCTGTCCACTTTTCTTTCCTTGATCGGTACCGGGGAATGGGAGCTGTGCCGCACGCTCAGCCCTGCATGGTTAGGGGAGCGGTGCCTCTGGCCCAAGTGCTTCCTCAGCACTGGGTCTTGCATGGAGGCCAGAGCACTGTGCACCACTGTTGCCAAGAGCTGAAGTGCTGCTCTCATTAAGAGGAACCTGAGGTGGTGGTCTCGCTCCTTCATGGTACGTGAATGAATGCTCCTACACAGGGGGTACTTGTCCATTTGGTGTCCTTCACTTCAGGCAGTCGGCATGAAGATTACCCTTGGGCACATGCTTGCCATTTCTCTCGCAGGCTTTGAAATCTTGGAAGCGCAGAATGCCCCGATGAAGGGGCTAAAATTTCTGTGGGAACCCTCAATAATACAACTACAACCAGTAGCTATATACCACTAAACTAAATAATGATGAACAAACTATCTACAACTATATAATACTAGGGTACCGAGACACTTACTAAGCAAAAGACCGGAGCTATTCAAGTGACCATCATGAGCGGTAAGAAGGAACTGAGAGGGCAGGGGCGGGGGATTGGCTGTGCATTATATACACCGCTGTAGCAGCACCACACCAGGGAGTTCCATAGACAACTATATAGATACTGCTAGAGTAAAAGCTTTCCAGTGATCATGTACATGCACATACACATGCGGAATCACTCGAAGAAGAAATAATGTTAGACTTACAAAGTGATATTCCTGAATCAAAACCAACAACTAAATACTCAACCAGCCCAAAGTATATCCAATTCAAGGTTTACTGTTGGGTCAGTAACAGCAGTAGTGCTGAGCGGAATTTTGAAAAGTGCCTAATGGAATTACAAACCCATTTGCCATTGAAAGTCTATGGAGGTTGGATACCTAAATTCCTTTAGTAGTTATGAAGAATTTAGCCAGCGTTATAGGCCTTATCTTCTCTCTATAAAAAAAAGTTGTGTTCTTAACTTGACAGTTTTCAGAGATAGCAGAGTTAGTCTGTTTCAGCAAAAACAGGAAGTCTGGTAGCACCTTAATGACAGTTTTATTATGGCATAAGCTTTCATGAGTTGCAACTTCCTTCATCACATGAATGAAATGAAAGAAAAAGAATCAGATAGGAGGGAAACAGAGATGTGAGTGTTACCTAATAACACTAATAGCTACTAATAGCTAATAACTAACACCCTGTAGCTAATTCAATCAAAAGGTCAGACTACCAAAAAAGAAAATTACTTATTGTAATGAGAAAGCCATTCCCAATCTCTATTCAGACCCATTCTGATAGGGTCAAATTTGTATATGAATTCCAGCTCTGCAGTTTCAAGTTGAAGCCTGGTTTTGAAGTTTTTTTGCTTGAGAATGTCAACTTTCAAGTCTGTAACTTTGTGTCCAGGGGGTTAAAATGTTCTCTTGCTGATTTTTATATGTTACCAATCTTGATATCTGATTTGTGTCCATTTATTCTGTTGTACAGAGACAATCCAGTCTGTCCAATGTACATGGCAGAGGCACATTACTGGCCCATGATGGCATAGATCACATTTGTAGATGTACAAGTGCATGAGCCTTTCATGATATGGCTAATGTTAGGTTCTATGTTGGTGTCACTAGAGTAGATGTGTGACAAGGGGGTTTGTTGCAGGGATTGGTTCCTGGGTGAGAGTTTCTGTTGTGGGGTGTATAGTTGGTGGTGAGGATGTGTTCCAGGTTGGAGGGCTGTCTGTAAGTGAGGACTGGTCTGTGAGTGCCTGACTCCCAAGGTCTGCACTCTTCCCTTACCTGGAAGTGCTAGAGGACAGAGATGAGTGTGCCATTTCCAGAAAATACTGGAAAGGAAGGATCAGAATGTATTTCGTTGCCATAAGAGGTTTGGAAAAGTCACAGGGAGGGAGGTTTGCAGAACCCTGTGGGGAGCTGTGTGGAGCAAGTTAGAGGGACACGGAGATGGTGATGTGCTGGAGCAGGGTGCTGAGATAGGAGTTATGGGAGGAACTGAAATTTGGGGGACCATAGGGCATTGGAGTTAGGAGGAGTTATGCTAGGAATTCAGAGGGCATTGGAGGTTAAAGGGAAAGAACAGTAGCTGGAGACTGAGCTGAGATAGGATTGGAGGGGAGACATAAGTGAGGGTGTGGGGATGAGTTGCATTTGTCCGGGAGTAGAGAGGAGAGGGAGTTGATTAAACAGGTGGTGGAGTTTAAGACAGCAGAGGACCCTGTGGGTGAAAAATAAATATGCAGAGATGAGTCCCAGAGAGGGAAAGTTAAACAGTGAAAGGGTGGGCTTGGAAAAAGAAGGAAGATGCTTAATAATTACAATGTGTAATTTTGGAATGATGTTATATAATATAAACTCAAGGAAGAACAGACAGCAACTCTCAAAATTCACAAGAGAAGAAGGTGACAAAATCCCATCAGGCTCCTGATCTGTGCTGAGTTTGGAGCTCCTGTGACTATGGACTTACTAATGTAGAACCTTAAACAGCAGGGCCAAGAGTTAACCCTGTGGTGGTGGAACTCCAGCTGCACAAAAGACATTTCACAGACCAACCAGCAAAATGCAAATAGATAAATAAATGCAAAAATAATTATTATAAAGCTAAAAAACCCCCCCGAGATATACAGACATACGCTAAAGGATATTTTGTTTGTCTCTCTCCATGGGAAGCGGAGTACGGGTGTGCGGACTCCATTGTGAACTTCAAAAATAAGGACTCCCTTTGAGCACACTCCCAGCAGGATTCCAGTTTGGGATTTCTTCTCAGGCAATACCCGATGAAAATGAATGCCATATTCTGTCAGCCTCTGGCACACCTACATAGATGTACATTTGTTAGAATATGAAGGTGAGGTAGAAAATCTACAAGGACACTGACAAGTTAAAATAATAATACGGTAAAACTTTACATTAAGGTTCTATTCATACAGGATGTATAGATGTTATAAACATATGGTAGACAGGAGCAGTTGTAGACAGCTATGAGCATATAAGTAGAAGATGTTATAAATAACTATTAGCTATAGCAGTACACAATCTATAACAAGTCACCAACTAATTATTTAAAAAGGTTAAATGTATTAAACTATTAGAATTAGAATATTAACATGAAGTTTTAACAATCACATTTATGCTTATTTATGTTTATAACAACACCATTCTGGATTATTTGAAGTTAGGTGGAGCCAAACCTTTACACATCATAGGAGGGTTTAAAGATTGAAAGTGTTCTTCCCACCCCTTTAAGATTAAACAAATCCTGTGAGAGAATCTGTGCAAACAGCTAGCTGTTTGTATGCAGATCAAAGCCATACATTTTCTCTTACATGCTTGACTGAATGCAATCTAGAAAGCCCTCAGCTACAATTTTAATTAGGGATGTTAGAGTTTAACTCACTAACTGTTTAACTGCTAAGCAGTAATGTGTCGGTTAAGCTCAACTGGCTCCTAAAGAGGTGGCTTTGCTGTGGCAGGGCAGTGAAGCCTCCTCCCAGGAGCCAGGCAGGAAAGGGCTGCCTACTCTGCTCCCAGGGAGGAAGCGTCACTATTGGCCCCTCTCCTGGGGAGGCTTTGCTATGGGCTCTGCAGGTTTATACTCCAGAGCCCGCTGCGTGTGTAACCACTTAGATTTTAGTGGCTACCCAGTTACCATATTAAATGCTTTTAAACATCCCTAATTTTAATACTTCCTGGTGACAGATAACTTTACAAAATATGTCAGCCTTGAATTAGGTGTTCCCATCATATCCCTTTTTCCTATTCTGCATGCAGATCCAATTTTGTTACTGGGTTTTTTGATCTGTTTGCAGTTTTCAGTAACACTTTCTAATGTTGAATGTACGTCTTGCCAATGGTCCGCTATACAGATCAGTAGTGTACTGGTGCATTATAAGATATTGAATGATCATTTAGGAACCAACACTATTCTCACTGAAGACAATGGCAAAACTCATGTCCACTTCAGTGATGTAGGACTGGGGCCTAGTAGCAGAAGTAGAAGCAAATCTAAAGAAGTTTCCAAAATTCTTTCCTTTCTAAATTATTGTAAAACATAAAGATGGCTGTATTCAATCTATCATCTGTCAAACACAGATGAACGTGTATGTTAATATAGACTAGCTAACTTAAAAGTGATCTACAAAGAAAAAAATTGGAGTTAAGCACCTGTGAACAATTTTCAATACTGCCTGCTTGACTAAAGGTGTTCTGAAAGGCACCATACTAGGTGGTGCTAGACATGGATAATTTGAGCTGGAGGTTATTTGCAATATCATGACTGGGGACACGTTGGTTGTATCTAGACTACAACCCTTTTTCAGTAAAGGAATGTAAATTAGGCACATCGATATTGCAAATGAAGCCGGGATTTGAATTTCCCGTGCTTCATTTGCATAATGGCGGCTGCCGCTTTTTTTCAAAATGGGGCTTAAAAAAAAAAAAAAAAAAAAAACCCAGCAGTTTAGATGGGGCATTTTCAATAGAAATGACCCGTTCTGAAAGATCCTCTACTGTTTTGAAAGATCTTTCGAAATGGGGCAACTGCCAAGTTTTTTTCGAAAAAGCCCCATTTTGAAAAAAAACGTTGGCCGCCATTATGCAAATGAAGCACGGGAAATTCAAATCCTGGCTTCATTTGCAATATCAACATGCCTAATTTACATCCCTTTGCCAAAAAAGGGATGTAGTTTAGACACAGTCCCTTAGTCAACAAATTAGGACAAAGTTGATTTCAGAGAGAGGAAAGTATATAAACAAAGGGTTTCCTTTATAATTGGACAATAATAAATCTTTAATAAGTGGTGACATTTAAGTAATACATCCAATGAATCAGCTGAAGGAAGAACATTCAAGGTATTTCTCCATCCTCTATGATTTTCTTTTCTAACTTTTAATAACTGTCTTTTTGTGGATCTTCTGAACCACCTTTGCCAGTGCTATTTTGGAAGACTTATTTTCCTTTGTTCTTCATTTCAATTTCAGGCTTTTTATCTATCCCATGCTCCTTGTATATGAAACTCATATAAATACAGGATAAATCAAGAGCTGCTCTGACTTACCTTCAAAAATTCTATCTCTGTTTCTTTTTCAGAAGCACCAACGTAAGTGCTATGCAGTTTGGGCAGCTCTTCTTTGATGTACGACAGGTCTAATTTCTCCATAACTCTAGCTGGTAGGTAGTGTTCTAGTCTAAAATAGGACATGCCATGCACCTATAAAGTGAAGCATTTTTATTTTTCATGTTATTACAAGAATAATAAATGTATGTGTGTGTGTGTATATAAAGATGGAGTCAGCCAAAACTCTGGAGCTGAACTTTCAGACTGAGTGGGAAGCTCAGACTCTGAATCCAGAGCTACAATACATTTCATTTTTGGCCCTTCTCTCTATTCTGCTCCTGCTAAGACACTGGGACTATATAGGGTCTGAGCCAACACCCATGAAATGGACAAACTACAGTGCTAGATCCAAGCATCAGCAAACACCGGAAGGGGCAATAGATTCAACATCCAGATCCAAACCTCAATTCTACAACACCAGTTCAACATTCAACCTGAACTGTAGAGCTGAAGCCATCTGTACATGAAAGCGTATCTGTGTTCTCTCTCTACTAGACTTCAAACAGCATAAAAACTACAAGTAGGAAGTCAATTGAACCACGAAAGAACTGGAACACATTCAGTTCTGAACTACACCACAGAGCACGTGCAGTAGTTGATTAGCAAAAAACAGCAGTGCCACTGTCCATAGCAGAAAGTACATCCTACCTCAGCCTGGTAATCTCCATACTCAGCCTGGAGAGCCAGGGATGCTAGCAATAAAGCAGTCTCATCATTGCAGTGCATCCTTTCCTCCAGGAGATCTTTCCGTAGCTGTAGATAATACTGGTGACAGGTCAGAGTGTGTCTGGGGGGAAAGTAACACACAGTATTGCTCCCTTCAGCAATGTTTCTAACATTCTGCACAAATAACTTGAGAGGGTGGAATAGGGAATTAAAGGTGGGTGATGAGAAAATAATGTTTGAATACTCACTGTATAAGGCTGACATCATCCACAAAGAACTTAACACGAAAGAACAAGGTGAAGTTGACTGTGTCTTTGCCCTTTTTTTTAGGTTCCTCTTTCCATCCCTCTGGAGCAACTTTTGTTAGTTTTAAGTCAGGATCAACGAATAAAAATTCATTGTCTAAAACATGGGTGAGAAGAAAGAATTTTCATAAACTATCAAAAACAGACACTTTCTCTGGACACAGAATTAAGATCAGCCTTACAATTTTGCAGTTTATTCTTAACGGTTAATATTCTATCAACCAACAAAGAATTCTATTACACAATGAAAGGAGGTGAATGAATGGCTCAGTGGTTAATAAGGTGAGAAAGGCTTTGTCTACAATGGCAAATTTTGCTGAAAAACTGTGTGAGCATTCACACAGCAACACAACTTTTGTTGGGAAAAATGGCCACTTTTGTCGTCCAAAAACTTCCAGCTCTAGCTTGGACCACCACGGAGCTGTTGGATCAGATCAATGTATAGGAAGAGGAGTCTGTTCTGTCCCACCTGAGAGTGACCTACAGGAACTGGGAAATGTACGGCATGTTTCTCAACCCTTGGGGGAAAAGGGGTACGAGCAAGACATGATGCAGTGCAGAGTGAAGATTAAAGAACTCAGATTAGCCTATCATAAGGCCCACGAGGCGAAGTGATGCTCCAGTGCTTCACCAAAGACCTGCTGCTTCTATAAGGAACTGGATGCTATCATCAGTGGTGAACCTAATTTTACTGCTAAGACCCCCATGGATACTGCAGCGAGCACAGAAGCAGTACATGGAGGACCTAATCTGGAGGATGAAATTGTAGATGAAGAGGCTGAGGTAAAGAAGGACCAGGGGCTCCCCCCAGGGTCATCAGGTGTGTCTGGCAGCCAGGAACTATTCTCCAGTCTGAGCAGGCACTTTCCGGGGACCAGGAAAGTTGAATGACTATGAGGGCTGGGTGGGCACTGTGGTCTTGGTGGCGCTGAAAGCTGGCTGTCCCTGATTCCACTCTTTCTCCAGAATCTCCACCCTTTCCATCCATCCTTTCTACCCACACCTTGTCTCAGGGACCAGAAACATACAAAGTGAAAGATAACTTGAAGGCAGGCAGAAAATACAAAGACAAAGAACCACCTTGATTCTCTTACTGTTATTCAGGTTGTGTAATACCCCGCTAATTGAAGTGAATAGATCTCTGCACGGAGCTAGGTAAAGATGGCTGAGCCTAACCTACATCAATGGATTTATTATGAATTATTGCTCTAGTCTTCCATCCATCTTAAATCTTCCTTTGCCTGTCTTCTGCACTGCATATTTAACCAAGTCTAGTAACTTTACACCTCTCCAATTAAATTAAAACACCTTTCTTACCTTTTAGGCTGGCCAAGCCAAACAAGTGATGCTCCACTAAACCAACATGGGCTACCACCATATCAAAAACATCTTTACAAATAGTTTTGGTATCACAGGTCAGTTCCAGCCTCTGCCCATTTAGAAGCATTACATTTACTTTCCGCCTGGTATCCTCATTCTTCCCTTTCTTAGTCTGCATTTTGTGAAATAAAAGTATTAGACAATTCACATGTGTCAAAGATGTATTATTGGTGAATAGACCATTTCTTACCAAGTTTAATTTTGGTAGATCCATGGAGATGAATGGCTCAATAGTCATTTTCACAAATTCAGGGCCAAAGAAATTCTGCAAATCAGAGAAAACTGAATTAACTTTTCGTGTTTCCACAGCCTGAGACTGAAAAGCAAAGAGGCGAACTGGAAGCTGAAATCAATGCTGATGTAAACCCAGAAGTGTATGATGAATTATTCCCAGCAACCTGGTTAGATGGAAGAATTCAACTTTGTCAGTGTGGGCACGTCTACAGAGCAGAGCTAAAGCCAAAATAAGCTATGCAACTTCAGCTACGTCAATTGTGTAACTTAAGTTGAAATAGCTTATTTAAGCTTTTGGTGCTGTCTATACAGCAGGAAGTCCAAGAAAAAGCATTTCCTCCTCCGACTTCCCTTATTCCTCATGAAATGAGGGTTACTGTAGCCAGAGTAAGAAGTCCTCCAGATTGACATTATTTTGATATTATGTTGAAGTAACTGCTTGTAGTGTAGACTCAGACTATGTTATTTCAGAATAACATCAGTTATTCCAAAATAACACTGCTGTGTAGACATATCCTGTGTGACTGAAGTTATGTTGGCTGCTATGGCAACAATATTTCCCACATAGTATTATTTATATATTTCCATATTACACACATTTAATTTATTCATACGCGCAAGAGTGAAACTGCTGTTATATCATCTTCAGGTGCCCATGTCTGATGTCCTAAATATTTGGGAATGTGATATTCACTGACACTGTTAAAAACTTTAACAGATTGTTCCTAAGACTCAGTTTTATTAAACTTTGGTTAGTTGAAAAATTAAAAAAATACGACCTAAACCTGATGCAACCTAAGGCTCTGATCCCGCATACTGTCCTGCACAGGCTGACCCCTATGCCAGTGCGAATTCTCACTGAAGTGCATTCAAAGGTCTACTTGTGCAGATCAGCCTGAGGACTGGAACGTAAGTGTCATTTCAGGAGTTTCATAAACAACAGAGTCCAGCTTATAATTAAGTAAAGTAAATTACTTTACCTTCAAAGCTGCACAAGATTCTCAGTCCAAGTACTTATTAAAGGAGGATACTCAACCTCACTACTTCTAGAATATGTCTACTTCCCTTGTTGTTTTCAGGGAGTCACACAAGAGATGTTCTTTTGCGGAGGGGGAAATACCTGGAGGCTTGAAGTTCTACCTGCTAACATATAATGTTCTCTGGAAGTATTTAATACAAAATGTCTATGTGGTAGCTCATTTAGAAAAGCAAAGAATTTGTGGAGTTTAGATCCTAGATAAATGACACGGTAAACTGCAGTGGGTCAAAGAGAACTACGGAGGAGACATGATCCTAGGTCATGGCTGGGAGCTGGGATGGCCTGAGAGAATTTTTGTTTTTTAAGCTACAACAATTCAGGGCATACAGTAGCAGAGAGCCTCAGGCTGACTTCTCCTAGCAAGAGGAGAAGTCTATTTGCATGTCTTAGCTTCCTTCCCACTTTCAACCCTCAGATCCTGCCTATATTTCAAGATGGCAGAGGAAGCACCTAAGCTCAGGAGAAGAAAAATAAACTTGAACAGGGAGATAGTGGTGGGCTATGGCTGTGTGCCAAGAGGCCAGCAGAATCTTCCCCTTGGTAGGCCCCCTCTTACAACCCACTGGGGATAGGGAAAACCAAATGCTGTCATAAGGAGAGAAGCTGCTGTTGCTTTCAGATCATCCTTCCTTGCCTGGTGATGGACATGGCCTATTGAGGAAAATTAGAATCTACAGAATGACTTTGGTGAGTGCGAGAGGAATGTGGGGTAAAGATAAGAATCACTTAATAGGTGACTGCAGAACCAGGAGAGAAAATGGATTGCAGACACCTATAGGAAATGGCCCTTCCATTTGCTCTGCATCGCATCCAAAGAGTTTGACTGGAAAGAAGTATTTCTCACTGTTATAAATCATGAATTGTAACTGGCTAAGAGGAGTGGGGTAGGAGAGAGAAGGGAGGAATTGTGATTGGCATGGCCGAGACGTCTACTACTGTCAAAGTCAAATACAGTTGTCCCATACTGTTTGCTTAATGATCTCTGTGTTGTTGGAACACATAGTATATGGAATGATCATAAAAATGATTGAAAAATGCAGAACATACTAGGACAGCAGGGGTAAAAAAACTAGGTCTATTAAAATGCAGGTATTTAACTGATTGAGTAGTTGATAGAATTTTTATTGACTACTCAATTATTTGATAGGCAGCTCAGCTCATTTCTGACTTGCGCTGGATGCAGGACCAAGCCCCAGCTCCTACTGCGTTTTTAATTGCAGAGCCACAGCCGGGTTTGGTACCTCACCTGGCGCGAGCCGGAACTGAACTGGGCTGCCTGCCCAGCCGGCAGCAGCCCGTGTGCGTAGGGTCCCAGTGGGGATTTGGGACCTCCTGTGCACAGAGACTACTGTCACAAAACAGCCCTTGCCCCCCTCCACCTCTGATAGAGGCAGCAGCAGGGGGAGGAGGAGGAAGCAGGTATCACCACAGAGATGGTGCTGGGGGGGAACTTGCTTTTAAACTGGTTCCCCCTCAGCACCAGCTCCTGCTCCACCTCATGCTGCCTCTGATACAGAGGCAACAAGGGAGAAGAAGGGCATTGTGAGTAGTTGACTTGACTCTTGACTACCCAGTAAGTTGACTAGTCCTTTACTCACGTAGAAAGAACCCTTAATAAATAACCTATAGTGCTACTCAGCAGTGAAGAGGTTAATAGCTGTTACATTTAAGTAGCGAACGTTTGTTTTCTAACTTAATATCCCATTAAGCTAAATAAGTCTCTTGGGCTTAGTCTACACTAAACGAGGCAAGTTGGCCTAAGGTACACTATTGAGCTAAGCAATATGTATAGCTCAATTTGGCTTACCTTAATGCAGTGTCTACACGTTCCTATCAGCTTCCCTTCCTCCTCACAAAATGAGGAGTACAGGACACCAATGGGGGCTGCCCTCAGCATTCGATTTGGGGCTCTACACTAGATTCGCTAAACTGAATGATAGAAAATCAACCTCCGGAGGATTGATATTCTCCAAAGTGTAAATGTGCCCTTGTTACATTTAAGTAGCGAACGTTTGTTTTCTAACTTAATATCCCATTAAGCTAAATAAGTCTCTTGGGCTTAGTCTACACTAAACGAGGCAAGTTGGCCTAAGGTACACTATCGAGCTACGCAATATGTGTAGCTCAATTTGGCTTACCTTAAGCCAAGCTACTGCAGTGTCTACACGTTCCCATTGGCTTCCCTTCCTCCTCACAAAATGAGGAGTACAGGACACCAGTGGGGGCTGCCCTCAGCATTCAATTTGGGGCTCTACACTAGATTCGCTAAACTGAACGATAGAAAATCAACCTCCGGAGGATTGATATTCTCCAAAGTGTAAATGTGCCCTTGATGCTCTTTTCACTCAGAAAAAACAACCATCTTTATTTGTGAATGGTGGCTTCATTTCTGGACTTTGGGATCCTAAACACCACAGACATGCATTTAAATCTTTAAAATAACTTGAGGCAATGTTCTACCAAAACAAATATTAAGAGTGCAAATGTGTTAAAATGTTACCCTTAGTTTTCTTTGGGTCATGGCAGTTTCCAATGCTATCTCTCTCAGAGGGTCTCTAGTGATGTCCAGCACTGATGTCCTACCCAGATCTCCTGGACAGAGGTTGAGTCGAGATTGCCTCAGAGCCATTCTAGCTTGTAACTGTACCATTTCTTCTTCTTGACGCTTTAACATTATTTCTTGGCTTATCAGGTTGCCTTCGGGTGCTGCTTCATACTGCCTACTTAGTTGGAGGGGAAGAAAAAGATAGTTATGATTAAAATACAGTTAATACAGGTGATGGGTACAGAGTAAGAACCTACATCAGTCAAAGCAGGAAATCTAGGGCGGTGTCTACACTGACGCGATCTTGCGCAAAAATGGCCGCTCTTGCGCAAAATCTTGCTGCCTGTCTACACTGGCCGCGTGTTCTTGCACAAGTAAACTGATGTTCTAATGTATGAAATCAGTGCTTCTTGCGCCAGAACTCTGAGGCTCCCGCTCAGGAATAAGCCCTTTTGTGCAACTGTTCTTGCACAAGAGGCCAATGTAGACAGGCAACATGAATTTCTTGTGCAAGAAAGCCCAATGGCTAAAATGGCCATCAGAGCTTTCTTGCGCAAGAGAGCATCTACACTGGCATGGATGCTCTTGCGCAAAAGCACATCTCTTGTGCAAAAGCACATGCCAGTGTAGACGCTCTCTTCTGGAAGAGTTTTTGCACAGGAACTCTTCCACAAAAGAGTTCTTGCGCAAGAAGCTGCCAGTGTAGACGTAGCCTCAGAAGGAATTATTTGTTGTGGAATTTATTTATTCAGCAACTGAGGCATTAAGGCAGACTAGACTGAAATAGTTTACAGCAAAATATCAGTATGGAAAATACATGGAATACTCCAAGTTTCCACCACTGTTTGCTATTTATTTATATGGGAATAAATGTGCAAGTGCAGTCTTTCTACCAAAAACACAAGGTCACAAAACAAACAAAAAAACCCAACAAATGTACAGCTGAAAGGAAAATAAGAGAGTTCTGAAAAAGATCAGATCTCTCTTTTCCAGCAAGAAGAATGGATAAATATGTCTGAAAAAATATACTGGCATTTAAAAGGAACCTGAATGCACAGAACACACTAGACAGTATGTAATAGATTTACATACTGCTTTCAACTATATTTCTATGTCTGTCTTAGGATATTACAGAGATAAGGTAAATAGTATCTTTTACCTGACCAACTTCTGTAAAACCCTCTCTGAGCACACAATGCTAGTTGTCACTTACTACCCACACTAGAACCCATAGGGAATATCATCAAACAGCTGCAACCCATACTTGATGGGGATCCCATCCATAAAGAAATCTTCCCTGAGAACTCAGCTCATTGTTAGAAGCAAGCACCCCCAGACCAGAATACATTAACTCAAATTGGCAATAGACTGCCAGAACAACAGATGCAAAACCTGCTGGCATAACTGATCAACACCTTCCACTACATGCACTTCCAGATGACTGTCAGAACATGATGTGTACCTCATCCAATGCATTAAATGCTCCTAGAACAACTACATGGGTGAAACCAGGCAGTCACCAGGCTCTTGAATGAACTCAAACAGGAAAATGCTCAATGATAAAAACGTCTTATCACCTGCTGCTGAACGCTTTTCACAGAGTGGTTGCTCTTTGGCCATGTCTACATCACATTTCTCATCCTTAAAATTTTTGTCACTTGGGGGTGTGGAAAAACCTTCTCCCTGAACAACAAAAGTTGTAACAACGAAAAACTCCCATGATGTAAGCAGGAGACGCTCCCAACCATGAAGTTTCTGCCTCATTGGGGGTGCTTTGATTTTGTCACTGGGAGAGAGCACTCACGGCAAGAAAGAGCAGCTACACTGTGCACCTAATAGTGCAACTGCAGAGGCATAGCCACGCCATTGTGAGGTACATAGTATCTGCATAGCCTATAGCTGACACATCAATCCTCATCCTCAAAGAAACCTGCACAACACTTTCAAAAGATAAGCCTGGGAGCTTAAATTTGTAGTTTTGCTAGACACTAAAAAGCATGGACTAATTAGACACTGGATTTATGTTTTATTCCAATTACCTACTACCAGCACCTTCCAAAAGCTCCTCTCCCCTCCCTTCCTTCTCTCCATGCAGCGGGGCTGACAGCCACTGCAGGCACTAGTGCAAGGTGTTCAGTTCAGCACCCCCAGCAGGGGCAGCACTTTGGGTGGAAGGGATGGGTGAGGAATGGCCAGCTTTTAGCACCATGGCATGCACCCGCCACTCCGTCCTCAGAGACACCCCATTTGCCCTCCCTGCCATTGGGTGGCCTCCCCTATGACTGAGGGTTATTATTGGGCCTCTTCACCTTGAATGGTCCTTTGAAATACATGTTAATTAATTACGCTGAACAAACGGTTCCAGTCTGTGACACTCCAAGTACCCTTTCTAGACCTGAACAGAGCTCTGTGTAAGTTCGAATGCTTTTCTGTCTCACCAACAGAAATTGGTCCAATACAAGATACTACTTCATCTGCCTTGTCTTTGAAAAAACAGAGTCCATTCTACAGTAATTCTGGTGTCTGTAAGCCAGGGATAAAATGGCTCTGCCGGTCAGTTTAAAATTATGCTGAAGTTACCTGTACAACTGATAAAAAATAGCTTGTAGTCAACTGTCTGCTATATGGCCTTAGTCTCTCAGCACTCTCATTATAGCATGGGAATAATAATCCAAACTTAACAACTTTGATCTAATTCTTGAATGTGTTGATATTTTCAATAATGTTCTTTCTAAAAGCCATGCTTGAAGTTAAAAAAAGGAAAAAAGAAACAAAAATGAACACTATTCCACCTAGCTAGGGATGTAAACAAGTAGTCAAGCATCCAATTAACTAATAAGCTTAGGTTTAATGGTTAATCTTCTCAACTACTCTGATACAGAGGGATTAACTAATAAGCTTAGGTTTAATCTTCTCAACTACTCTGATACAGAGGCAGCAAGGGAGGGGTGAAGCAGGAGCCAGTGCTGTGGGGAGCTGGTATAAAAGCCATCCACTGCAGCACGGGCAGAGGGCAAGAGAGGCTGCCATGAAGGAGCCTCTGTCCACGGGAGGCCCAGGCTTGCCACGGACAGATTGCCACGGACAGAGGTTGTTCTGTGGGATGTCTGTAGCAAACCTGGGCCCACCCCCAGGCACAGGCTGCTTCATAGCAGCCTATCTGCAAGGGGTCTGAGCTCCCCACGGACAGGGGCTGCTGCTGCAGGGAGCTCAGACCCCCTGTGGATAGGGGCTGCTGCCACCCTGCACTGTAGCAGTGGCAGCAGCATGGGGCGGCAGGCAGTCGGTCTGCATGGAGAACTGGTTTTTAAACTGACTCTCCTCATGGACCGGCTCCCGCTTGGCACCCTGAGTTGCAGGGGGCTTCCAAGATTGGGGTCGGAATGCATTAGCTGCCAGCCCTGCCCCCAGGGACTATAGACTAGTTGAGTAACTGATAGGAATGAATGTGGTTACTTGACTATTCAATTAACTGATAGCTAACATCCCTAATCCTATCAGAAGGTATTAGCTGAGCCTCTGATAATCAAGACAATAATTCAGGGCCCAACCCAGCTTCCATTAACTAGACTCTAATTGCCATAATAGCATTTCTACCAAAATGTTTCTTGGAAGTTCTTTTGGAAGCAATATCCACTGCTGAAATCCTGCCACCTCTACAGGAAAACAGGCACATGATTTAATATTACTTGGAATACTAAACAGAAGTTTAGGACTGAGTGAAATAAATTATTTGATTGCAAGTAAAGAATAATTGCAGTGTAAGAGAGCAAGGACTGTAAAATATGATGATTTCACAGAGTTTACCTTGATCTTAAAGGGTGAACTTGACTTGATGGAGAAATATCCTCAGCTCCTGATAAAGCAGAACCAGAGTCATCTCTTTTTAAACATTCATTTCTTTTCACTTGCACATAAAAAGGAAACACAGGAAAATTAATACCTGAATGGGCTATCAACTACGTAAAGGTAATCAACTTAAAGTTCAAGGATTTATCAGACACATGAGATTACTTAGGAAGGATCAGTGTCATATGCACTGGACAATGGCATTACAGTAATAGAGAAACTGGCATTAGGAAGTCAATTTTAGTTTTCTAAGAGAGTCTATTGTTTTTCCTCTGATGCAAGTTGATGTATAATCTTTTGAAGAAACATGTTAGCTAGGGGTTTGAAAATACAGAATTGTTAATATGCTTTTCTAACTTCAAATGTTTCATTGTTCACCAAGGCTTGAAATATCTGAATACGAGGAAGCAAAACTGATATGTATAAAGTTATCACGTGCCCAGAATGGTTTTACAGTAGCTATAAAGATTTGACTCGGAACATGGAAATTAAAATCACTACCCTGTGTAGCTTCCACTTTTTATTTTTGTTTGGATTCTTCACCCCTCCATAGATTATGAAATACTAGATTCTCTATTTTGACAACAGAAGACCTATTTATTAATCTAGTCTCCTTGAGAAAGTCAGTTCAGGTATGATTCTGCAAGGTGCAGACACCTCTACTTTTAACTCCTATTGTCTTCAATACAGATGGTCCTAAGCATTTTGTGGGAGGCACTCAACAGCGTGCAGAATATATTTCATAATTATAGGAAAATAGCAGCAGGATTCTCAAATATGCATCTTTAACTGCTGCGGTGCCATCTAAATGGTTCCCAAACTTTATTGATTCACATACCCCATTCTTAAAAAAATGATGTTTGAAGTGCAACATGCACTGAGACGTAGACAGCAACGGTTAAAATTTTCTAAATATAAAGCAAAGTGAAGCTGTAAGCAAAAGTTTGCAAAAACAGGGCTAATATTATGGAAATACCCATACCTAAGAGGTCGTAAAAACATTTCAAAACAGAGCACCTCGTGAAAAGGCATCTTGGTACCAACAATTCCCTCCCCATTACATAGGGTTGCCACATGGTTTAACCAAAAATACCGAACACCGCCTCCCGACCCCAACCCCTCCCAAAAAAAACAACGGGGAAAAAATTCTGTTGAGCCAAAAAAAAGGGGACGACCAAAGTTAAAAAAAAACAGTGTCTGAGAACTTTCTGGGTGTCTGGCTGATACAAAAAATAAAATAAAACAACATTAAAACAGTGTCCCCCTTTAAGAGTTTGTGCAGGGAAAGGAACAGCTTGTGAACAGGAACAGCTAACAGGGAGTGTGGAGAGGGAGTTCTCCAGGTAAAAGAGGAGTAAAAACGGGACCCTTATGGTAAGTGGCTGTCTGGAGTGTGTGTTTGTGTGTGGGGGAGTTATTTGCTGTGTGCTGAGCTTGTGTTTGTGAGACCAGGGGCTCGAGGGGGGAAGGGCGGGGGCTGGGCCCGGTTGCTGAGTGTGTCATAGAGTTGCCAGGTGTCCAGTATTTTCGCCTCCTGGCAAGGAAAAACATCAGAAAATACCGGACATTTTAGGTGTCCAATATTTTCTAATTTTTTTTACCAAACAGGAGGTGAAAATATCGGACTGTCCTGGTCATACCAGACATCTGGCAACCCTACCATCACAGATAAAAGGAATATACTGATCCAGCTTCAGGACTGGGTCTAAACTAATAGCATAATAAATAGTAATCAAACCCCCATGTACAAGGCAATGGGTGGTGTGAGGGAGTGAGAAGAGGGCCTGGCAACGCAGGGGTTAAACAAAGCCTTTTTGCCCAACTAGCCCTGATCCGTTTTACCTGCAGCCAATGCCAGGCCTGGAGGGAGGATAAAAGAAAGGCGCCTGGCTAAGTTAGAAACTGTCCAATTCTGGGCCCCTCACTATAGAAAGGATGGGGATGCATTGGAGAGGGTCCAGCAGAGGGAGACCAAAATGATTAGGGGGTTGGAGCACATGACCTATCAGGAGAGACTGAGGGATTTGGGTTTGTTTAGTCTGCAGAAGAGAAGAGTGAGGGGGGATTTGATAGCAGCCTTCAGCTTTCTGAAGGGAGGTTCCAAAGAGGATGGAGAAAGGCTGTTCTCGGTAGTGACAGATGGCAGAACAAGGAGCAATGATCTCAAGTTCCAGTGTGAGAGGTCCAGGTTGGATATTAGAAAAACCATTTCACTAGGAGGGTGGTGAAGCACTGGAATGTGTTACCTAGGGAGGTGGTGGAATCTCCATCCCTAGAGGTTTTTAAGTCTCGGCTTGACAAAGCCCTGGCTGAGATGATTTAGTTGGGATTGGTTCTGCCTTGGGCAGGGGGCTGGACTTGATGACCGGTTCTTCCAGTTCTATGATTCTATGATTCTACGACACAGGAGCTGATTCTACTGTCTGCAGGACCTGAGCCAGAGCCGTCAACTGGGTCAGCCACAGGAGCATGTGAGCCTCCAACCCCTCCCCTTGTTACAAAGCGGGAGAACCTACAAGGAGACTTCTCTGAGGAGGGAGAAATTGGACTCTGGAGCCACACCACAAACTTAAGAACCAGACTTAGGAAAGAGGCTGGAAATCCTAGGCCTGGGGCCCCAGCGGCAGGGGCCTATACCCCCTTTGCCACCAACTAACTATGGGACCTAGCCACTAGGCCACCCTGTTGCCCTGGAGACCCAGGTACAAGTGGATTTAGGTAGTTTAGAAGGTGACAACCTAATACAGGTTGAACCTCCCAAAACCAGAACTCTCCATGGTCTGGCAGGGACACAGATGTTGCTGGACCAAAGAGCCCCCAATGTGAGAGCAATGCAAAGGCTGGGGAGAGCCAGCTGGGCCAGGAGTCATCTGGGGAGCCCCTGCTCTGGCCAGGGAACCTCCAGCGTTAGCGGGGCCAGGTGACTGGGGAGTCCCGACTCCAGCTAGGGAACCCCCAGTTTCAGTGGGGCTGTTAGTGGCAGCGGGGCCAGTGTGACTGGGCAGCCTCTGCCAGGGAACCCTCTGGCTAAAGCAGCGATGGTGAAGGCGAGTGGCTGGAATCCCCAGCAGCAGTGGGATGGGCCCTCACAGCAGGGCAGGGCGGCCAGGTGGCCCCAACTGGGAACCCCGGGGAATACCCTGTGGCAACAGGTCTGGCAGCAGCCAAGCAGTCTCTTCTGAGAACCCCGGGATACCCTGGGGCAGCAGGCAGGCAGCAGGGTGGGGAGCTGTGCCAGGCCAGTGCTGGGCAGTGGCAGGGCAGAGAGACCCAAGGAAAGGAGCCCTGGAGCACTGACCTCCCCTGTCCAGCAAACTCCCTGGTCTGGGATAGTTCAGTTTCCGAGGGTGTTGGACCAGGGAGGTCCAACATGTACATCCAAAGTAACACGTACCTTGTTTGAACCTGTGTATAAAAGTGTACCCCAAAAAGTTGTTTTTGTTCAACCAAGGGGGTAGTGTCTCAACTCTGGCATTTAGTCATGTCCATTGTCTCGGGCACAAATTCTGAGCCTACCTATAGACATCTGATCCAGGGCAGCTATTACTGTGCTTTGTTTACCATTAACCTGGCCTGGTGCCTTCAATCCTAATCTAATTTTGGGATCTTTGGCTCTCTCTCTCTCTCTCTTGGAGTCTGCTGCAGTGACTATTTGTGCCCACCAGCACGACACATATGAGCATACGCACATAACCAAACAGGTATCATCATGAATGGAGAAGGAAACCTGTCAGGACATCACTGGTAACACCTGTCTACTACAGGCACACACGTACATGCATGCAGCTGTGTGTGTAAAAAAGGGAAGGGAGTGCAGAGGGGAAGGGAACAGGCATGCATGTGGTGGGGGGTAAAATAGTGAAGGGGTAGTACGGGGAAGGGTACCTATGAGCAAGCATTGTTTGTGTGTAAAGGAAGGGAGAGCAAAAGGGAAGGGCACATGCATGCGTGCAGATGTATGTGTGAAAAAGGGAAGGAGTTACAGATAGCAAGGTAACATTTGTGAGTGAATGTGTGCATGTGTGTATTTAAAAAAATGGATGGATTTTCAGAGGAGAAGGGTACGAACATGCATGCGTGTATGTGTGTGTAATAAAGAGAACAAGTCTCAGAGGAGGGGGTGCATGCGTGCACGTGTGCAAATAAGGAAGGGGGCTCAGAAGACAAGGGCATGTAAGTGCATGCAGGTGTGTGTGTAAAAAAAGGGAAGGAGGTGCATATAGGAAGAGCACGTGTGTGTGTGTGTGTGTGTGTGTGTGCGTGTAAAAGGACAGGGTTGCAGAGGGGAAGGGCATGTGCATGCATGTGCATTTTGTGTGTAAAAAAAGGATGGGGTATAGAGGAGAAAAACACACTTGGGCATGCATGTGGTTGTGTGTGCCAAAAAGGGAAGCGTGCAGAAGGGAAAGGCATGTGAAATGGTCTCAGGTTACAGCATGGGAGGTCTAGGTTGGATATTAGAAAAACTTTTTCACTATTTTCACAGTGAAGTACTGGGATGGGTTACCTAGGGAGGTGGTGGAATCCCAGCTTGACAAAGCCCTGGCTGGGATAATTTAGTTGGGGCTGGTCCTGCTTTGGGCAGGGGGTGAACTTGATGACCTCCTGAGGTTTCTTTCAACCCCCTTCTAAGTCTTCCACTGACATTTGCTCTGCTTCCATAGTTTGAAGATAAGGCCAAAGACCTTGATCAAAGTTCTGTATAACTGTGTGCTTCTTGACTTCAATTTATTTTACATCCTTCTTGCTCTCTGTTTTATTCCATTTCCTCTTCTCTGTGCGTCCTCCTTTTAACTACTCTTGCAATTCTGTATTTTCATTAGCTCAGAACATCGCTCATCTTGTACACACAAAAGCCAACCCTACTTTCAAGGCACTTTACCTTCACTTCAACACTAGCCTTTAAAAGTCCCTGCTATTATAAAACTTTCCTAAATTAAAAGCTCCACTGATACCTCAATGTCTCCATACAACTGTCTGTTATCTCATGTTTATCTGAGTCACTATATAAATTTGTGGCCCAAAACCAGTGAAGAATTTAGCCTCATAGCTTTCACGGAGGGTTATGTATAATCATGGCACTCTATAAATACTACTATTAACTTCTGAAAATTCAGAGCACATGACAAATCTTGTTTATAGCAAATATTGTAATAAAAGTTAATTATTTCCACCAATTCCTGTTGATTTCCCTTATGCAAGTCCAGTATTCTAGATCCAAACCTATATTAAACAGACTGCAAATTATGCTGGACTATGTAAGATGGTCTCATATAATTACACCTTCATACTGTTCTTAATTACCAAATTTTCTAGTATAGGTTTTTGTTTTCTGCATATTTATTGGATTTGTTTTAAATCTTCTGTGTGTACATTTGTTTACCTTCCTTTGAGTTGTTTTTTATTTTATTTTTTACAATTCTTACCTTGCCTGAAATCTGGCTCAGAAGAAATAATAGATGGACTCTCACTGGAGGTACTATAGACATCACTGTAGTAAGATTTGTACCTTCTCATAGGTTCTAAAAGTTGAAAGCAAAGTGTGAGGAAAGCAAAGGAACAATTGTTAGGCAAAATCAAATGTGATGTTAATTGACGTCCCCTCCTCGGATGTCTAACCATTTCTGTGGCCACAGTTTTAAAATGCTGAATACTGTGGCTACATCTAAACTACAGGCTTTTTGTGTAAGCAGCTTTTTTCGGAAGAGATCTTCCAAAAAAACTTCTTATGAAAGAGAGCGTCCAAAAAACAAAAAAGTGATACGCTTTTTCAAAAGATAGCATCCAGGCTGCCTGGACGCTATCTTGCATGTAAGTGGTGATTGCTATGGACAGAGTGGCCACCATAAGTGATGATTGCTATGGACAGAATGGCCACCAGGGCAACTGCTTTTTTCTCTTTCCTATTCTTCTGAAAAAACTCCATCTTCCCTGTCCACACAAGTCTTTTTGCAAAAGAGCTCTTTCACAAAAAGGCTTCTTCCTCGTAGAATGAGGAATCCCAATTGCGCAACCCCCCCTCCGTTTTTTCAATTTACTGTCAAAAGAAAGCACTTGTAGTGTGGATGTAACTCAGGTTTTGTCGGAAAAATGGCCGTTTTTTGGACAAACCTCTGTAGTCTAGACCAGTTTTTCCCAAATGGTGGTCCGCAGAACCCCAGGGTTCCACGAAGTGAAAAAAAGGGTTCTGCAAGAAAATTCCATTACAATAACATTTTTGATTTAAAAAAGAATAATAAACAATATTTAAGCATTTTTTAAATTTTATCGAAAACAATTTTCATTTGTGACAATATTTAAGCATTTTTTAATTTTATTGAAAACAATTTTCATTTGTGTTTGCCACAATAAGTGTCCCTGTGTAATGCCAGCTTAGTCAGAGAATGGGGATGATGATGTCACAACTCAGTAGTGCGATCGCCTGTTATATACCACCATACGATGATGTCACAACTCAGTGGTGCGATCGCCTGTTATATACCACCATAAAGCCCCATATTCACTCTCAGGGAGCGTGGATCACGTGGGTGACTGAATACGATTATACTAGATCTATGTTGGACAAAGTCAAAGCTTCAGCTATCAAACCACTTGCTTGTATGGGAGTGCTCAGGCAGTGTTCTTGCGAATACTTTACTTCAATATAGTTGCGTGATTTCTTGTATTTAAAAATGTAACCGTGACACATATAAATCAACTATGATAGATTAATCTACATATCATGACCTTGTTTAGCAATTGTTTATTATTATCCTTACTTATTTGTGGTCTACTTTTCATCTTCATAAATAAGACTGTTATTAGGGGTTCCAGAAAATTCTTTTGAGTTTAAAAGTGGTTCTATGGCAAAATACAATTGGGAAACACTGGTCTAGACATACCTGTGCTGCATCAACCTGCCTCAATATCCCCCTTGATCCTGCACCCTATTCAAACACCCTTCTTGCTTTCTAATCTCTCAGCAGACCCATTTTTTTACAAACTCTTTCCTTCCATGACTTTCAAATTAAACTCATCACTGTTAGTTCAATTTAAACCAGAACTTTGTTACACAGATGGACAGTAGTGAGTACAGCTGGGGGGGAAAGGGGGGGGCCTCTTAGACATTTCTGTAATTAAAATGATACTCATCATATACCACTCTGCTGCATTAATATTTTAATCTTGATCTTAGCCAAAAAATAGCATGAAAATAGAAAAGAAAGGACCTGATTCTGGAAATTGTTCTGTGTAGGCAAATTCTGCATGCATTCTCTACCTGGAAGAATCACAGCCTAAAATAGCTTTTGAAGTTCATTATTCTAGCGATGCTGTTAATAAATGAGTATTAACAAAAAGATAGGACTCCCTTATGCCTGGAAATCATAGCCCAACCTGAAAGGAAAGTATGGTTGACTGCTATCTAGAAGGTTTGCTGTGGTACACTGTAGATTTCCAGCTGTCTCCCCAGATTTGACCCACACATCTTCTAAATTAATTTTCAGAGTTTTGCAAGATTTTTCCAATTTTTAAAAGTCTGACAGTCTGTATTCATCTTTCTGTCTGGAAATTTAACTGTTGGCATTACAAATATTTGTAAGATAGCTACACAGTATGCCCCATATAGAACAGAGCCTATTTTTTCGAATTTACTTTGTGCATTTCATAGTACAATATTATATATTTTGGCAAGTATCTGTCCAGTCCATCTCCCTGTTTGCATAGTGTTCACGCAGCAATGAGATCGAAATATTTAACAAAACTCATACAAAAACGTGATTTTAGAGTGAAAAAAATTGCAGTAGCACATAGGGATGTTAAATATTGGTTAACTGAATAGTTGATTAACCTCATGAATTCTTATTGGTTAGTCAACTATTCTATAGTCCTTGGGCAGCCCTTGTTCAGGGGAAAGGGGTCAGAGCTCCCACACCTGGCCCAAGCTGGAACTGAGCTGGGCTGCCTGCCTGGCTTCTAATACACTTTAAATGCAGAGCCACAGTAGGGGTAGGTCCAGAACCCAGTGTAAGCTGGGACTGAGGTGGGCTGCTGCCCAGCCTGCTAAAAAAAACATGTATTGGCAAGGAGTGAGGGGGAAATGCGTGTAGTCTATAGCAATAACCTATAAGCTTTTGCTAATCGGCTAATTGACATGCTATTACATCCCTAGCAGCACACAGCATTAGATACAATATCTGAAATTACTTCTAACTCGTTTTTTAAAATCAATTATACTTCAAGTTGTGGGGAGACGTTTTCAAAAGTGCCTAAGTAACCTGGCAGCCTAAGACCCACCAGCTTTCATGTTAAAATGGTGATGATGGGTCTTGCAAATATGTTAACCCAAAGTAACTTTCAGGTCCCATATGACATCTGATGGAGAAACCCCAAAAGTATCAACAGATTGGCTGACCTGGGTACAGAACAGAGACAGAACTGATTACTTTAATAAAGATAGAGAGCTGAAAGACTGGGTTTTTAAAGTCAGCAAGGAAAGAACTCCTGTTGAGGCTACAGAACAGGACAGACATGGAGAGATGGAGCCAAATAATTTTGGAAGTTTGGTATTTCTGAAATTCCTACTCCAGGACAGATCTACATAGCAGAAGCACATTTGTGCTTCATTAGAAATTTGTTACCTTGTTTGGTATACTTCCCTACTGCCTCATCAGGGAGGATGTTTCTGCTAACACTTCGGTGAGAACTGCTCAAAAAACCATTTTAGCTGTAAGATCTGACTCCATTCTAATAAAAGTCAGAGCACACAAGTGTAACAGTATAAATATACTTCAGAGGAGTAGCTGAGTTAGTTTGTAACAAGAAAAGCTTAAAAAACAACAAATAGTCTAGTAGCACCTTAAAGACTAACAAAACATGTAGATGGTTTCATGAGCTTTTGTGGGCACAGCCACTGTCATCTGAAGAAGTGGCTTGAGTATACATATAAGCAGAAAACTGTTTGCCCAAAACAAATATGTCTTTCCTTTCTTCCTGAAGTGTGCAAAAGGGGCTTTGCTTCAAAGTATTTCAGAATGGCCACTTTTTGTATTTTGTTTGGAAAACAGGGGAAAAAAAGGTGGAAAAATTGAGTACCAACATAGGAATAATTTCCCTAAACACAGCAATAACAACGGTGATCTTTCTTTCTTGGATTTGTAACTAGTCCACTTGCCTACACACTTCAACCAAGACTTAAGTTTGATGTGGCTACCTAAGAATTGGTACCAAACTATTTGACTGCAAACCACAACCCCTCTTATCAGTAGCTTGTTAATTATAGATTTTCAAGTGTGTTAAGATGACTCTCCCTCCACCCCCACACACTTAATAGTCCATTTGGTCAATAAACTGTGTTTCTGAAACTGAGAAATGTGGCTCACAAAGCATAAAAAGAAGTTATTAGGGAATTAAAAGAATTGAAAGGAAAATACATTTCAAAGAATAAAACCAGACACACAAAGTAAAACTTGCAATAGTGTTTTCCTTTAAGGGACAGCAGGACACTTGACTCTACAAAGGAATATAAGGCTTTTCTGCTGACTAAGCCAGTTAGGAGGAATTAAACTCAGCAGCAAACTGGCGGGTAAGTCCATCTGCCATACAACAGGCTCACAACCACTATTCAGTCTATAAATCTTTCTTCAGGGTGGTTTTATTAACAAAACATGGGAAGAGCTCAAAAAAATGCCGGTACTGGATGAGAGATACCAGACCTGCCCACCTTCCACCAGCTGGCAAGAGAAACCCTTTCCCCACAGACTTTTGAACCATAGGCAGCTCGGCAAGGCTCGGGGATGGAGTAGCTGGAGAGTGCTCCTCTTTTACTATGCACCCAGCTGGTTATACATCCACCCTGGTGTATCAAGCAGGGAATCAAAACAGTATGTTGTTGTTAGTTCTCAGCTTCGTTTTCCCCTCTGCTAGGCTGTCCTGAGAGGCTGTGCCTTGGGAGACATCCCACCTTTGCTGGGAACTCCCTTAGGCTTAGATAAAACCAGATGGCTCCTATCCTGAATGGGGCTCCTCCAGCCAGAATTCCACTCCCACTCCTCCCTCTGCAATGAGCAATGCTGCATGCAGCCAGATCAGCAGCAAAAATGCTTCTAAGCAGCTGCAGCCAGAAAAGAACAGCAGCTTCTCCTAGTGGTGCTAGTTCACACCAGGGGGTGGTAGGTGAAGCCGTAATGGGAAGCAGCAGGGGAAGCAGCACTCTGTCAACCTCCCTATAGTGTAAGATCTTATTCAGGTGCTTCAGTTTGAATATTGAGGGGCCCAGCTTAAGCACTACATTTTCAAATCATGACAGGCCCGTACACAGGCAGGGTGCAAAGGGTGCAAAAGTAACCCTCGCATGGTCCTCCATGGTACCCCATGGGACTGATTCTGGCAGGCCAGGGGAAGGTAGGAGCAGCTCATTGCTCAAGCCAGTGGTCCCCAACCTTTTAGGGCTGCTGTGCGGCTGGGGAGGGGCTGCTCCCACGCTGTGCGCCCGGGGCCCGCGCATGTGCTGTGCGCCTGGAACCCGGGCCACAAGAATGGCTTG